GATTGCCTGATGCGATCGAGCTCTTATTCGCCCAGAAAATCTCATCCCCGATTGTATCCACCTTGCGATAGAGCCTTGCCTGAAATATTTATTCGTCTGACATTCATTTGTCTTGTCGTTAAAAGGAAATATCGCGACACGAATATCGAGTTCGAGTCGTTACACTCGCGCGAGAAATAATCGCGCGGAATAACTGTTCGACACTCGGCCGCTCCCTGTTTGTTTTACATTTCTATCGGGAGATACCGCCGCCCTGTTCTTATAATCTCCTTATTCCATTCCTCGTGCTCGGCTACATTCGCCGAGTTCCTGAACGCGCTACTTTTCTGTTCGTTCATCTTGTCAGTATTGAGCCGTCCCTCTTCCCTCGCCGAGCCATAAAACCGCCGTTCTTCCTTCGCTACTGCTCGCTACCCTCCGTTTCACCGAACTTTTACTCCGACCGATAGTCCGAGCACAAAAGTTTTCGACCGTTTCGCCCGATTTTCTCATGTGACATCTTTCGTTCATGCGGACTGAATTATCGCGTCCGCCCGCCCGCGATATGAGACAGTGAAACAGCACTCTCGCTTCCCGTCTATTCCGGGCCATTCTCTTTTTTCGGATTTCGCCGGGCGAAAACTCGCGCTGTTTTACGCTGCCGAATCGAAATCGGTGGTGGCGGGAAGTTTCTGTGTGCGCGTTTTTATCGCGCTTTTCGCGATCGACATTAATCCACAATTCGAATTCGACTGAAATTTTCACACTTTTACAATCAGACACATAACCTGTAACTCGGTATATTTCTGATGAAAGCCCAGCCGCAAAATAATCGATTTTGAATTTTCCATAATGACCCTTACGGGTTCATCGAACTAGCTGATATTCAAATATCTCATCTTTCAGAGCTAGAGAGAGGAGAGAGAGAGAGAGAGAGAGAGGGAGGGAGAGAGAGAGAGAGGGAGAGGGAGAGAGAGAGAGAGAGAGAGGGAAAGAGGACACTACCTCTCTCTCGTACGAATTACCAGAATATCTTCTTACTTAGAGGTATTTCAACGTCGTGTTAAAAGCAATGGCATTACACTGTTCTCTTTCACTTTCTCTATCGTGTTTCCCCCGAATTTGATAAAATTGTCAGACAAAGAGAGAGAGAGAGAGAGAGAGAGAGAGAGAGAGAGAGAGAGAATGAATGAAAAACACATATCTCCGATTAGACTAAAAATAATACAGACAAAAGGGCAGAGCGAGAGAGAAGCGGGAGGGTAGGGAAGGGGGAAGGGGAGAGGGATAATAACGACGAATCTCGATTTAAAACATCAGACTGAGAGGGGATTAAGGCGAATTATATTATTTACCCCATGTTACCCGCGCCTGATTGTCGAAGTGTCAATCTTAATTTCACAATACGTCACGCGGATAAGCCGTGATTGGTAATGACGAGCGCCGTTTATCAGAATCGCAATACCCACCAGCGATTTTGCGATCCACGCGCGCGCGCGCATCTTGATATTCCGTTAAACGCGCGAGCGTGTATATCGCGCTGCTGCTGCTGCTGCTGCTGCCGCGCGATGCCAAACTGTAACTAGTTTACTCGAGTATTCGCGCTGCAATTGTTGCGACTTAATAACAGCCGGAACGCGAGCCCGATTCCCCCGTTTGAAAATACAGCTTGACGTTGCACGTGCGCTCGCCCCCGCGCGTACCTATCGGTGTTTCGTTTCGCTCGTCGCCGCGTGTTGTCGGCCCGTCCCGAAAACACCGCGATAATAAATATCCAAATCGTTAAGTCCCCTTGTTACGGATGTTACGCGATTTCGCGTCGGGGATCCGTTAGCGAGACACGGCCGTGCCCACACAAGCTCGCGTCGCGCGAGCGTACACGACTCGGCCCGAAAGCATCGAAAACAACGCGAGCTCGCGGATAGATAGGTAGATAGGTAGATGGATGGACAGAGAGGGAGAGAGAGAAAGAGAGAGAGAGAGAGAGAGAGAGCCTCGCGTAAAAAAAATGTTAAATCATTAGGGAGAATTTTACAGGCTGTTTTATACGCGGGCATAACTTCAGGGACGAATTTAACACGCGAGAGCAATTCCCTCCCTCGCGTTTCTTCTCCCGCTTCTCTCTTGCGCTCGTTTCTCTTCCGCTTTTCTTCTCAAGGGAGGTGGATCGTCGTCCCCCCGCAGCGAAGAAGACAAGATTTTTGTCCCGCGAGCTCCCGCGCTCGCAGCTCCCGGCGAACTTGGCGCGGATTTCGTCCGATCGGCGCGACTCCGTCTAAAATCGCGCGGTCTCTAATTTTATTCCCGTTCGGCTCTCGCTCGTTAATACACGAGATATGGAAATTTCCAGACGAACAATAGCGCCCGGCCATTGTTATCCAGGAGCCTCGTGCCTTTTTAAATGTGACTGATCAATGTGAGGATACCTGGCTGTCTCAATGAGCTTATTCCCAGGTTCTTGCGCGATCAATAATGGCATGCCCTCTTCGTCTGAGAGGGATGCAGAGAGGATCTTTAGACTAATAACACACACACGCGCGCGCGCACGAATACACACACACACACACACACGTACGTACATATAAACACAGACAAACAGGCATATACACACACACACACACACACACATACACACACACCGGAATTTGATTCCTGAATCGCCCGGTTAATCAAAACGGGATCGATAAAGCTAAGCCGGACTCGGGGCTTACCGATAAACGAGATATTTAGTACTGTCTGCTTGCGATCTGCATCCACACCGCGAGTATCGCACGAATTTGTAACGAGCTGCCTCTGCCCGTTCTCCCAAGAGTTGAAGCTCGCAAAGGAGCGAGCGTGCGCGTTTTCACCAGCGAACCGAATTAATTGATGGAAAAGCAAAAGGAAAAGACGAAGGGGCAAGGAGGAGGGGGAAGAGGAGGAGGAGGAAAAGGAGGAAGAGGAGAAGAAGTGCGAGAGTGGAAAATCCGTCGAGAGAATCCCGCCCTCGCATCCCTGCCGCGCGCGCCCCCGAGCTTCGTCACGGCGGGATGAAATATCGCAAGAATTCCGATAGAAGCGCGTCACCGGGTCCACGTCTTTTCCGAAAAACGTGCCGTGGAACACATCGGCGGGGGAGAAAGAAAAAAAGAGAGAGAGAGAGAGAGAGAGAGAGAGACTTGGTCGGGCGTCTACGTCCGCGATCTCCTCTCGAGGAGGTTCTCGAGGCGAGGAACCGTCTCTCGTTGTTTGCAGTACATCCGAGTGCTATCCAGTTCATTTGCAATATAAGTAATAGGCAATAACAAGTCCGGATTAAGAAGGTTAACGAAGCGCGAATAAAGTCAAAGGCATCTCTCTCTCCGCGAAAGCCGGAAGCTTCCTTCTTCTTTCCTCTTGCTCCCTTTCTTTCATTTCCTCCTCCAACCTCCTCTTCCTCTACCTCTTCCTCTACCTTTCTTCAGCTTTTTCTCTCTTTCCCTTTCTTTCTTCCTCCCCTCTCGCCTGTGTGTCCCCTTTTCCGTTTGTCTTTTCATTCGCGACCCTCTTTGCTCTTCTTATCCATCCTCCGCTTGTCCAGACCAGAGCGAACGTTGAGTAAATTAGCGCGTCACCGGGCGCTGCCCATCCTCCTCTGTTGCTCTCTTTTATCCTCCTACGCTGCGAGGGTGTGTGCGCGTGCGTGTGTATGGGACGAGCTCGGAGAAGAAAGCTCCTTCGATTCCTTAGGTAAAAGCCAAGGCGGGGGGATTAAGTTAACTGTTAAATAGGTCAACTTTACGCATTGTACGTCGAGCGAGTGTGCACCCCCCCCCCACTCCCACTACCGTACGTGCGCGACTACACGCTTTTCGTCCGGTTGACTCGCGGCTATCAAAGGGAGACCGGATAGTGAATTATATAATGGCCCGCCTCCACTTGTCCAGGTCGATTTTGTCCCCATTCCCTTCCTCTCTTTCTTTCTCTCTCGCTCTCTCGCTCACTCTCTCTCTCTCTATTTTTCCTCTTCTCTTTTTTCTCCCTCGTCTTTTCCCCGGGACTTCCCACTGGCTCGTCCGCTGCTCCCTTCCGCCTTCGGACTCCCCGACATTGTTTCTTTCTGTTCTCGGCGTGGCTCGAGTAGATTAGATCGTACTTTGAGCGTGAGCGGTCGACGAGACGACCGCGCGCAGGGCAAACACTCGGCAAATCCCCAAATCTGTCTGGGAGAGATATCCATAATTTGAAATCGATGCCTCTCACTTGCCGATTCTCTCCGGAGAGGCAGGAGGCGGAAGAAAAGAAGGAGAGCGCGCGAGTGTGTGAGCCGTTTTCCCCGGAGAAATCGTTCGGCGAGTGTGTTCGGCTCTCACGGGCCGAATCTCGCCGGGAATGCGAATTTTCTTCCCCTCGTCGGAGCGCGTCGCGTTAATTGCGACGTACGCTACAATTATACTCGAGTCTCCGACGTCTGGAAATTCAGAGGACGCGCGAAAGAAGAACGATGTTCGATCGAGTTCTCGCTCGGCGAAGTGAAAAGAGCTCGTTCGTGCGGGATAGGGGGGTGGGGGTGGGGGGAGGGAGAGGGATGGAGCGACGGCGCGGGTCGCGTCGACGGATTGATCAAAGAACGGGGGAAGAAGTGGTCGGTCGCGCGACGAGAGAAGTTTGTACGTGTGAAGCTAGCAGCTACGTGCAATATGAATTATGTAAAACCGAACTAGGCGGCATCCCGGTAAATGAATCCCCCCGCCTCCCTGCAGCCGTCACCGCCCTGGGCCCGGGATCCTCTTACCGTGGATAAGAGCGAATCACGTGCCCTCCTGCCCCCGCCTCTCCCCTCGCCACTCCGCCCCCTACTCTAGCCGTCACGTTGCGTCGATGATTGCGCTAATGAACTGCAATCGCATTTCCGCGGTAAGCGGCCGCTCAGAAAATAATAATTACACGCTCGCGCGATACACCGATCCGCTCGCTCGCGAGCGCTCGCGAGCGCGTACGAGCGGGCGGCCGAGAGTATCGCACGCTACCGGGTCCTAACGAATGATTTCATTTAATTGCAGGTAACTTCGCTGGCTACGCGTCAATTAATCTTCCGCTATTGTGTGTACAGTTGGCCGTTCTCAATGTGTTCCACTGATAATTTAATAGATAGGTAAGTTTTGAACGCTGCCGCAGCGCTCGCCAATTATGCAATTCGCGCGTAATCGCTAATTATGGCTGAATTACGCGCCACGGGCGTTGCACGGGCGGTTATACCGGTAGCGACTACCTCGCCGTTAATTTGCGGATCTCGCGGGTTAAAAGGACTCGTCTTCCGGTGTCTTTTCTTACCCACCCTCTCTTCGTTTTATCCTTCAACCCTCGCGCAGTGAGAGCAACGTTCAGGTAATTTGTTTGTTAAACCTTTGCGGTGAGGGTAGCCTGTATATATACGTTAAAAAGAGAACGTCGATCGCCGCGGATGTTGCATTCGCTACATGCGCGCGCGCGTGTTGTGTGTATAATTATATAACTCGAGATACATGATACACACACACACACACACACACACATATGCATGCGCGTGCGAAGGCGCGATATTTTTCTCAGCTGACCTCAATCGCGGTAGCGGGATTCCTGCGGCCGTGTTTCAAATGAGTTCATATTAAAAGGGATCGTATCCGTAAATTGACTATTCGCATTCACGATAATTGGCGAGACATTTATCTTTTAAATTATATACGAATATATTGTTATATACCGGCTAATTCGAGCTATTCGTAAGTACAATCGAGGGATTAATGCAAAGCGTTTTTGCAGCGGCATAAAAACGAGAAAAAAAATCCGTCACATTTCCGATCGGGCGTTCCCTCGTTCCTAAATGTTACGATTATCGGGATCAGGATGAGAGTTTCGCGCTACACGGGATGGCTTTAGGAAATTCTTCTCATGTCTTAACATTGCAATTATACAAAGAAAATAAGAATGCGTTGCATCGACATTGCCACGCCGGTCTGATTGGACAACAAATCTCTTGATCCAATAGCAGTATCAGTGAGAAACTAATGCTCTAACACGAATAAACTGATAACGATAAACTGATACGAGTGAACTAATAACGATGAACTAGCAGCGCGAATTATCGAAACAATAGTGTGACATATCAGTTTCAATAACGCCGTTATCGAATCAAGAAGATTCATTGCAATCAGACTGGTGCAATTGATACAACAGCGTGTTTTCTTCCGTGTGGAATTACCGATACGAGCTTTACGCAACATGCATATTGTTGAAAATCAAATGGAAAATCCATAGTGTATATACAGGGTATTTAAAAAAGAGAGGTTCAGGATTTTAAGAGCAAATAGCATTCACAAAGTGGAGGGAAAAAGCCGTGATAAACATGAATCGAAAAATTAATATTGTCGGAGATATGAACAATTATTTATATTAATAAAAGTCCTGATAAATATATAAAATGCCTGTCAAGTAGTTGAAACAAAGCTGAGAATTTTTGAAAGAATTTTCGCAGTTCTATGCTACGAAGATATGAAACGCGTGTAGAAATAGCAGGAGGCTATGTAGAAAAAATCTTCTGTAAACTTTGCGAGCACCAGAAGCGCGTAGGTCACTTTAATTTAAATAATTTTATTAAAATAAATAAATGTTCACATCTCCGACGATATTAATTTTTCGACCCATGTTTACTAGGACTTTTTTGCTATATTTTCTGGGTACTATCTACTCTTAGCTAAGGTCCTGAATTCTTTCTTTTAAACACCCTATATACAGGGTGTCTCACTTTAATCCGGCCGGCTGAATAAAATTCGAGGATGATATTTTCCAGAAAAAAATGTCAGACAAATGTTGCTCAGTTCTAAGGGGGATATTCGATGCCATCAACAATTTTGACCTCGGGTGAAGGGTTCAAGGTCATTCAAGGTCAACTTTTTTTTCTTAAACGGGAACCCCTATTTTTCACATCGGCAATCGATTCTGCGTAAAAAAAAATGAAACTTTTGTCTGAAGCATTTTTTTTATAACGCAAACTAATTTCACTTATTCAGCCTCCAAAATTGAAATTTTCAAACTTTCTGAATTTTTTACTCGAGAATGGTGGGGTTTGGGGGGGAAATTGCAGAAGACAAAAAGTTCTTGGAATGCTGCAAGGAATTCACTCGAATTTTCGCATAGTTGATCGTGCACTTTTTTCCGCCAATGTTCTACCTGTCAGAAGGTACCTCGAAAAAAGTGCACGATCAACTATGCGAAAATTTGAGTGAATTCCTTGCAGCATTCCAAGAACTTTTTGTCTTTTGCAATTTCCCCCCAAACCCCACCATTCTCGAGTAAAAAATTCAGAAAGTTTGAAAATTTCAATTTTGGAGGCTGAATAAGTGAAATTAGTTTGCGTTATAAAAAAAATGCTTCAGACAAAAGTTTCATTTTTTTTTACGCAGAATCGATTGCCGATGTGAAAAATAGGGGTTCCCGTTTAAGAAAAAAAAGTTGACCTTGAATGACCTTGAACCCTTCACCCGAGGTCAAAATTGTTGATGGCATCGAATGTCCCCCTTAGAACTGAGCAACATTTGTCTGACATTTTTTTCTGGAAAATATCATCCTCGAATTTTATTCAGCCGGCCGGATTAAAATGGGACACCCTTTATGTGACGCTTGAGTAATTTTACAGGATTCATTCTAAAATGATCATGCAAGATTCATTCCAATCGGACAAATTCACAGGTCCAATCAGACGAGCTACGGACTGATATAATTTATACGTATAATTTCAGATCGCGACGTTATTCCGACGAGGATCCGAGTGTGGTGCACGTGCAGAATATCGTCGGCCGCACGTTGAACACTCCGCGGAGCGTGAAGCGGACGATTCTCACGATGGCCGAGTCGGACGAAAGATCCGCATTATCGCCTCTTCGTTGCTTGTTAATAAGGATATTAGTTGTAAAAATTATAGCTATATATATATATATCTCTATATATATGCGATAACCGCCCCGATAATCGGCGATAATCGAAGCGAAATGAGAACCTAACGAATTGTTAATAATTGATTCGCGCGAACGCGAGATGAAAAGGGCACGCGGAAAAGGGCTCGTTTGATTCCGAAGCGGTCGTTGTGTTCCTCTTAATTCCATTCCCTGAAACTTCTTTGGAAATTTAGCCGAGCGTCATTTCGTCTTATGAGCCTGCCAACTTTCGGTTTCGAATTCAATTCGATGGCTTCGTAACTGGATTTAACTTTCAATTGTAGCCTATACCCCAATTAAAACGGGAAGCGAAGTTTTCTTATCCATTTGTAACTTCGCCCCTTAATTTGTCAAAGCCGTGTTTAATTTTCGCTCGCTCGCGGGTCGCGCGGAGACCATTCGCGTTGTTGTACATTTTTTATCGCGTTAGCCGCTTCGGAGCGAGTAATTCGGGGAAGTCTCGATGATTCCGCGAGAGCTCTGCATACGTTACGACCGTATTGGAATCTCGGTTGTGCGAAGAAGTTGTACAAATATTGTCGCAGCTAAATTCTAAGGCGGCGCGAACGAGATCGGCGGCGACTCCAAAGAAAGCGCGAAACGTGAAACGATAATCACGAAAGATTCGGAACGCGCGCGGTGCGTCACGCGCGAAAAGAGGAAGAGATGCTAATTGTATTTATTTATTATTAAGCATAAGCATTAGCATAAGCCTTGCGAAGCTAACTGCGAAATGCGTTTCCTTGTATTGTAAAGCTTGTGGAAATGACCAACGAGACGTTTCTACGTGGCTCTTCCAATTCGCGGAATTATTTCGTCTTAGCTGCGCGCACAATCGAAATTCGCGTTGACACTGTGCGATGCGCTCGAACCCGGCGGGCGGTGTGTGTGTGTGTGTGTGTGTGTGTGTGTGTGTGTGTGTGTGTGTGTGTGTGTGTGCGTGTGTGCGTGCGCGTGCGTGTGTGTGTGCGTGTGTATGCGTGTGTGTATGTGCGTGAAAGAAACGTAATTTCTCGATTCAAGCTGATTAATAGCGCGGCGAATCGACCTTCATCCAATCGCTTCATCTCGAAGGCAAGGGAGGAGCGAAGTTTCTCAACGGCGAGACGCGGCATGTATAGCGCATAATTATCGCGCAATTAGCAATCTCCGATCCGTTTCGGTAACCATAACCAATAGCTTTCATGTGTCGCGCTGCCGTCGCAGCCGGTGGAATATATGCGTTATACTGGTTTCTCTGTATCTGGGCTTATATATTATAAACATATCATCTTATACGGGATACTCGGTGAAAACATGGCTTCTCTTACCAAAATATCTGTCTCAGAGAAGCAATAACACGCGTGCGAGTCTCCCGCTATTTTCTCGGTAAACTGGGAGTGCGCGCACTCGTGAAATCGCCGAGACGCCGGTGCAAAATTCGCGAAATGTATTTCAGAAATCGCTCGCGAAAAGTTCTCGCGCACATTTGCCAAGGCAGTACCAAATAGGCAGCCATTGAGAATACACGCCCATGCCCACGCCCACACACATATACATATAGACACACACACACACACACACACACATACATATATACAGCATATGTAACGTCGCGTATCGCTAATGTTTGCAATCGTCGCTTCCGGGGAGTATAACGACATGTTCTTCTAAGATAAATAGAAGTACGGAGCAGGCTTCCACGTTTGCACATTCCTACATTGCGTATGCTTTCGCGCTCTGCACGATCTACATTTCCGACCTAGTATCGTTACGATATACCGTATATTATAAATGCGCAACGCTGCGGGGCCCATTTCGGACGGCCTAAAAGATATGGACGCCTCACGAGACAAAGCTACTCCACGATTCAACGATGATCATCCCCCTCGTTCTCGCCTGGTGAGATACGATTGATTTCTATATTATGCGTCACTACGTTGTCGGAGAGAGATCCGCATCTTCGACCCACGTGGTCTGTGTGCGTCTGTACATGAACGTGCGAGCACGGAAGAAATGCGTGGGATCTGATCTGAAGAGTATCGCACGTCGCGACATGCTCGTTCACGGGTTAATAAGGATACAAAGAACAAAAGAAGGAAAAGAAGAGAGAAAAACGATTCCTTTCGACGTTCTTCAGGCGATAGTACATTTTTTAGAGTGTAAGGATTCGGCGTCGTCAGGGACGACTGGATCCGCACCGTCCGTCCACACGACGGCGGGCGGAAGTTCGTCGGTCCTCCGTTAGATTCACTTTGAAATGATTAAGACGGACAATGCGAATACTCCGGTGCAAAAGCACTGGAGGACGTTTCGACAAAGGATCCGGTCGGAGTCCCATCTAACATCGTCCAAACGGACCGTGCGAATCCGACCTAACACGTTGCACCCAGGTACATGTGTACCAGGTGTCGCGCGATTCACCGTAGCAGCATCCGTCGGCGGTCGGATGCGAGCGACAGGTACATTCGCTCGTCCAACTCTAAAAGTCGAACTTACGAGAGATAAAACACCTACATTTTAGCACGCAGAAGCATACTATAAGATATTATCGACTCGCGCGTTGTATATAAATCTGTACACTAAGAGGGAGAGAAAGGGGAAGAGGGAGGGAGAGGGAGAGAGAGAGAGAGAGAGAAAGAGAGAGGGGGAGAGGGAGAGAGACAGAGAGAGAGAGAGAGAGAGAGAGAGAGAGAGAGAGAGAGAGAGAGAGAGAGAGAGAGAGAGAGAGAGAGAGAGACACTTGTGTGACACCTCGTCGTACAGAGACGTAATAACGAAGAAAAGAGGAAAAGAAAAGAAAAATAAAAAAAGAGAGAAAAAAAAATAAATTGTTCTGACCAAATGCATAGTTACGATCGTAATCGCGTATGGATGCGTCATAATGTAGCGTCACTGGATAATTTAATCGTTCACACGAATATGCGAAGTACGAGAGCCTGGCGGTGGAGCGAGCGAGATCGGCTCTCAAAGAGAAGTCGGTCAGTTTAGCGAGCGTGGTCGTAACTCGATGCGGTGCGCGTCGCGCGTCGATTTCCCCGCGTGGAGCTAACGAGTGGATTCGATGCTGCCAGTCAGTCACCGCGAGGAACGCGCTTTCCGACGTGATTCGAGTTATCGGTAAACACCGTCGATACGACGGCCTACAACGGCCGATGGAACTCACATGAGGTTCTGTAACTTGAGGAAGAACCGTCTTGCGGGAGAACCGTCTCTCGTCACATCGCCCGTAACTGATCGATAAAATGGACAAGAAAAAAGAATGTGTGTACATATTATCTCGTATCCCGGTCTCGTTGGTTTCCTCGCGACGCCCCGTATATGTGTAGGATAAACTCAAATTTGCTTTTCAAACGACAATATCTGTATGTTAAGAGAGAGAGGGAGGGGGAGAGAGAGAGAGAGAGAGAGAGAGAGAGAGAGAGAGAAAGAAAGAGGGAAAGAAAAAAAGAAAGGGAGAGAAAAAAAAGACGGAGGGAAAGAGAGAAAGAGAGAGAGAGAGAGAGAGAGAGAGAGAGAGAGAGAAAGAGGGAAAGAAAAAAAGAGACGGAGAGAAAGAGAGAGAGAGAGAGAGAGAGAGAGAGAGAGAGAACTAGAGAAAGAGGGAGAGAGAGAGAGAGCAACACGTGTGCCTCGCGTTGTAAGCTTACGATATATTGTTGTAATATACGCGCGATACTATTCGCCCGGCTTATCACATAAACGTCACTCGAAGGGGACTTAAATTTCGATTTTCGTCTTTATAGCTTCGCTCCCGGACCGAACGGGAGCGGGTGTAACTGCACGTCCTTCGTCGATTATTCGTGTCCATGTTGTACTTTCGGTCTAATGTATACACATTGTAATTTTATACTAAATAATAGTCTTTACTACCTCTGTAAACACACTATTTAGATACATCGAATTCATGTTATACATATGTGTATGTATATATCTGTGTGTATATACTGATTAAGGCGCCGTTGGAACAAATTGTTTGATAACTAATACAAACATAATCAATGTTTTGTGTCTAAAGTTGCGTGTGAAGTGTACAATTACCTGCTCCAACAATGATTCGTTATATCATTATTATTATTTTATTATTGTTATATCGTTACCATAATGTTATTATAATTATTATTTTATTATTGTTATATCGTTACCGTAATGTTATCGGTTCAAGTTTGAAATATTTTGCTCGATGCTTACGAAGAGAAATATAAACAAAATTCAATGGATCGTGACTTTGGCGAAAATAATGCTAATAAGATGATGAAAGAGTGTTTTGCAGCTTGAGGTGTGTATCCAGTTACCAAGTATATTTTCAAACATAAAGTTTGTATATTTCTTACAGTTCTACGCAAAAATATAAATCACGATTCGTCGAATGGCGAAACTTATAATCAAGTTTGTCGAGTCGCACCACGTAAACGAAACAAATATACATGAATGATGTTTACGTCGTTTGAAAGTGAGAACTTTCCTTCAATTAATGTACGTTTTTGCAAATTTTTCACCAAGTTAAACGACAAAGCAAAACAACATTTTTCCCTACTCTTATCGCTCACAGAAAATAGACGAATTGTTGTGTATACGACATCCATTAAAAAATAAATAGAAAGTTTAAGGTTTCTCTCTTAAAATCTACTTAATACATTCTTTTGCACAAAGCTGCAATGTAAAATCTCAGTTGAAAAGTGAGATGAAAAAGAATCAAAAGAATTGCTACTTTTCTCTCGATATGATTTTTAATCGTAGTTTAAGTTGCAAAATATTCTTTTTGGTTTACATTATTATCGTAATCTTTGCCAAAGTTACAACCAGTTGAATTCTACTTATTTTTCATAATAGAAGAAAATTCTTCAATTTTTATGTATAAAAGCATCCTACAGGACATTTAAAACGCTGTTGAGTGCTATTTAAAAGTAGAAAAATATATCGGTTTGCGGATTCGCAATATTGAGTCGTGAAATGAAAGAACTTTAGTAGCGCATGTTGATTTTGCATGTGTTTCCCGAACGTATGTAATGTTTGCAAAACGTTTCGGAAATGTTTCTAAACAGTGCCACCTGGGAATAATGAAAAGATATATCTGACCACTTGTTGAAGCCAGTCAGAAATTCGACTTTATCGCAGAAAGCGGTTAATTTATCGTCGAAGAGGGCAGAAAATCCAGCCGAATTTCTCGACTGACTCAACACTTGAAAATAAGAAAGTACCTTGGATCCGTGTCGAGTTGAAATACAACCTCCATTCCTCGCATTAGCGCCATAACCGTCCTCTTCTCGCGAAACCTCCAGATACGTAACGATCGATACACAATTAACTTTTGATTGATACTTGGAATACGCAAGCAAATTGAACGAAACACAAATATACAGTTTGCTGTTTTTTATACACTTTTTATACATTTTCCGCGTAAAAAACCGCGACAACCATTAAACGACGAAAACCGTGTCGTTTATCCGACGTTATCTCTCCGTTCGTAATTTAATAAAGTGCAGCTGTGCAGCGCCATCTAGCGGTATTAGTGAGAACCAAATTGAGTATCGATACCAACGAGGTAATATAAAGACCGACAGCCCTGGGTAAATTTTCGTATCAGCTAAAGGGCCCGAGGGGCCCCGGAAGTAATTGAGAAGCAACGATAATACCGATCGCTTTAGCTATGCTCATGATATTACAGCTAGCAACTATTGCCGGTGCGAGGTGAGGGGAAAGACAATACGCCGCTATTCATGTTTTATTTCGCGGCTCCATCGTGGACATTGGCATCGTAGTTGACGTGCACGGTTGTACAGAGAACGCTTTGCACTTGGCTCGGATAAAATCGGCCTATAACCCCTCTCCTTCTCTCTGCATTAAACGAACAAACTTGATTCTTTTTTAGATCTTGTTATCTCCGAGTGGTACGAGTCAACGATATGTCTGTGTACGTTACTAAATATCATTAGTGATAAAATTTGTTCGGCACTAAATAACCATGAGAATATAAACCGATCGGTCATTTTCAATGTTTCGAATGTTTCCACGGGTAGTGAGTGAGTGATCGATATTTTCTTACAATTATTCGTTTGAGCGTCGACTCGTCTTTTCAACATCATCCATTCCAGCACGCAGCTTCGCTAATCTGTCCGTCGTTTACACGACGGTTTCGATACGCTGCCGCACACAAGCGCATTTTGACGCATCGGGTGTACATGCGCACGTCAGACGGAGAGAGAGCAAGAGAGCGGGAGAGAGAGGTGAGTTACGTCAAGTTATCGTGCGCTGTCATTTGGCGGCGTTTCGTTACTCCCCCGTGTAGTATCAGTAGCACATTTTGTAGAAGTGAGATCCAGCCGGGTGCACCGGACGACGCGTGTTCAATTGAAAATCAGGAAATGGCGGACACGACTGTAGACGCTACGCGGCGCTTAAATGTGAAAAAACAAACGTTGGACGACGCTTACGCGGCGCCCGCGAACTTCCTTGAGATCGACGTAATTAATCCAATCACACATGGTGTCGGCAAGAAACGATATACCGATTATGAAGTTCGCATGAGGGTGAGTACGTATATAAGCACCTAACTCCTTATCTGCTTGCCGGAAGATGTTCGTTTCGTTTCGAATGTTACTTTCAGCGCAACGTTCAACATATTGGGCGTGCGAACGTTCGCGGAAATTTCCTTGCGCAATTCCACTATCATCGTACACTCGACGAGACGGGCGTTTTTCGCATTGCAACTGTAATTCGATTACGTGCAGCGATTAGGTGTATCGTGGGCAGTACCCGCTATCGGTACATCGATAAAAGCCGAAAAACACTTGTTGTATTTTTTGTATAGAATATTCTGTACTTTTTTCTTTTTATAGTGTGTTAATTCGAGATAGTTTGATAGGCAGAAAGCTTAATAGAAGATTGATAAAAGTTAGTGGTAGGTAGAAAGTCTAAAAGTCCGCAAGGTCCTTGTATCGTGCCCTTTCTTATAGTAACCACTCCATTTTTTAATATGTCTTTTGTTTTATAAACTGTTTCTCTATCATAGTTATAAGATATAGAAGTCCAGTAAAAATCCTTTCAAATTTTTGAGACGTCAAACTTAAGTTGACAGTTTAAAAATATCCTGTAAAACAGGAAACTAAAAATATATACCTTTGTAAAAATATCATGCGACTTTAATATGATAATTTGTAAAATTTGTAAAATAATTATTAGAAGGGACATTTAGCTAAAACTAACATTTTTGAAGCATCATAGTTTAAGTATAATGGTAATACTGCATTTGTATATTTTTTTCAGCTTAGTAAAATAAGATAAATATATTACTCAATACACTAGTTTTAATATTTAAATATTGGATATATGAATTGTTAGATAAAATAATAACATGAAACATGAGTAACAACTTTATATGGTATATAGTTATTGATAGTATAACTAGCAAAAGTGATATTATAGAGAAATATATCTATATTGATCAATTTACAGACAAATTTACCAGTCTTTAAAGTAAAGGATTCAACTGTAAGAAGGCGATATAGTGATTTTGAGTGGCTAAGGAACGAATTAGAAAGAGACAGTAAGGTTAGTTGATAAATGAGGTATGCTGTCTTCTAATATTATGACATGTAAATGACATGTTAAAAATTGTTACTATCAAAAAATGTTTTATGATTTTTAAATACTTTTTATGCAAGACTAAATCTATGGATTATATTAACAAAGTTGCTTATATTTCATTCAATTATTAAATGTCATTGAATTTGTACATAATTTATTCTGACACAAGTATATATAATGAATATTTAACCATATATGTTTTCTATAAAATTATACAGATCGTAGTGCCACCTTTACCTGGAAAAGCCTGGAAACGTCAAATGCCTTTTCGTGGGGATGATGGTATATTCGAGGAAGATTTTATTGAAGATCGAAGGAAAGGCTTGGAAGTTTTTGTTAACAAGTAAGTTTCGCTCATGTATATGTACATGTATATATACATAATCAGCTCAAAATAACATCATGCGTATATACCAGAGAATTTAAAGTAAGCTTTTTTCCTTTGATCTTTTGAGTATTGTGAACCCATATATGTGTCTAATACTAATGTACTTTAAGCTCAGTGTGACGACATACCCACGTCATCAAAAGTCTTAATACTGAAAAGGTTAAAGGAATATCCATTTATTCTTTCAACAGTTCAATAAATCATTGAGATACAGTTCACCATTCACAATTTAATTATACCTATGATGTACAAGTCTACAAAACTGACAGTCTATATTGTACAACTATTTCAGAATAGCTGGACATCCCTTGGCACAGAATGAGCGATGTTTACACATGTTTCTACAGGAAGCTGTAATAGACAAGAACTATGTACCTGGGAAAATACGTAATACATAAGTCACTGTAAGAAGTACCTTTTCAAATACCTTTTCCACCAAGCCTTTTACTACATTCGTGAGGTCACGTTTCATTGTATTGACATCTTATTTGGAAGTTACGGACGTCCCTCAATATTTTTGCAACATCATCTAAGCAAACTTCCAATTGCTATGATTACTGAATCAGAATACGTATTTGAAGATATACACATACACAACACATACATACACACACACATTTAGTTCACTCCGTAAATATGCTAATCTATGGTATAAAAAAATATAACTAAGCATCTTTATAAGGAAAAGAATAGAGTAAATCGGCAAAATCACTCTTGTTAGTAGGTTGATTCTGTCTACTGTTATCATAATACTGTTTATAACAAAGGAGATAAGTAAAATAAAAAAAATGTTATCATTCGTAAATTATGTCATATAGAACGAACCCTTTGTAGTGCTATAATTTCAATAATTTGTACGGTAGCAAGCACTCGTTTGATATGTTTAAATATTTGATATGTAAGCCGTTAGATGGAATAGTAGCATGAGTCAAGTAAAATCATCTTTTCATAAGCGAAAGTTTACTTTTGGCAATACAATCGACAGAAGGATGGTAGAAGTTAGTTAGAGATATTGAATAAATTTGTTATATAGATTATTATCGTTGAGAAATTAATGTATTAGCGATATCTTGATATATTAAAATTTTGAGCTATTTCTAGAAATATTTTTGTAAGCCAAAAGACTGACTTTTAAGCAATTGAAATATGAGCAAGATATTTTATTTGAACAAATGAAAATGCTCTCAATGTTTTGCAGGAAATTATTTGCAGCTTATTTTTTTTTGTCACGTAAGATCATACCGCTTGTGTCACTAATAAGTTGTATCATTAAACGGATTGTCTTGCATAACGCTTTGATGCATGATTCGTTTAGCACGATATAAAAAATTCTCGGTCACTTTGTATGATAAAAATAAATAAACAATGTTATAGCTTGCAACTACTGTTCCGCTCAATGGCTCATGCGTCCGTGTGAATTGCTCAAAAAAAAGGGGGGGAAGAAGAAGAAAATGAATTACGTTGTAAATTGTAGTGCTCACGTTTTCTTTCTTTTTTACTATTGTATTATCTCATTGTTGTTATTTTTATTATTATTAATCGATGTTATTACTAGGCTAAGTAACTAACTTCTTTTTATGATTGTAAAGAATTATTTTATACATTCGCTAAATTTTTGTGTATATACATACACACACACACACATACACACACATACACACACATAAGCGTACATAATACGACTAGCTCGTATCATCTCCAGTCTCTAACTGTATGGCATTTTCACTATTTAACAAGTCGTCCAAATCTACAAATCAGATAATAAGAAATATGTTACGAAGCCATACTGATGTAGCTGAATTTCATCATTGATAACTTACCTGTGGCAAATCAATATTTTAAACAAAAAGAAAGAACAAATTATGTCACTTCTGCGCTATTTGCCTTGGCAAAAGTGCAACTTCAGAACTTGTTTGGTGCTTTGTGAATCTCCATATTGTATATGACTTCTTGATTTTACATATGTAGAATATCTAGTACATTATTATTATTATTATTATTATTATTATATTATTACTATAATCATCGTCATTGCCATCATCATTAGTATCGTGATCATTTTGTTTTATTATCGTTCTATATTGTATCTATTATTATTAAAGTCAACAGTAAAACTATTAATTGTACTTGATATCTCATTGTCATTTTGTCCGATCACATTTGTATGCCGGGGATCTCGATTTCATATTGCGACACAAACTCTAATTCACGACGTGACTTCTCCTTATTAGAGAGACTTTACTCATAACACAAGTCATTTAATTATTTACTACATTAATTACATTGTTACAACAATAAATTTTAATTTCTGTCGCAGGTAAGATTTTTAAATGCTAGAATATAAGCACTTTCTGATAGTGTGACTGTTATGGCAACTTTACATTTTGCACAAACACACTCGTATATATTTACATTGAATAAAAATTGTCGTTATATGTCTCTATATTTTCGCTAATTTTTTTTTTTTGTTAAATGGAGAAGTCTGTTTTTCGCAATGTCCCAACTCTAAACGTTAAAATATCCCCCTCTCTCTCCCGTGAGCTGTTTTCTACTTGCAAACATTGGTTGCATTCAAGCTGCTTTACAACTGTTGTAAAATTCGTAAATCTAATTGGCATATGCTCTCAAATTTAGCTGAGTCCAAGAGCACGCATTAATCAAATTTGCGAATCTTACAACAGTTGCAAAGCAACTTTTCTGCTGAATGTAGCCATTGTCTTTACTCGGCCATAATTGTTAGGCAGGAATTATATACGTCTATTTATATACGGTGTATCTACATATACCTATAGATCAAATGTCTCAGAATCTTACACCATACAGAGATTTACATCAGAATACGATGCCTACATTTTACTGGCTTGTATTACATAACAGAATCAATAATCACACCAATAACTCGATAATCCTATTGATCTGTATGCACTTGCCCTCCTATAGAACCAGCCACCATATCACATCCACTCAGCACGTACGTCTATTACATAACAGAACTCATATTAACTTTACATTATATATCTTGCTTGGTTTTAATATATTTCTTGTTCCTGAAGTAGTCGTTTATGTACTTGCTCACACATTCTTGTTCTGAAATGCAAAAAAACGTAATAGTGGAGTCTCATTGATTATATAGATGTACAATGTTTAAACTGCATCTGCGACTGATTATTGTTACTTACCAGGAAATGTGTTATTTATGATGAGCATATCCGCGATATATTTTGCGACAGCTTTGAAAAGTTGCCGATCCTTAATTCTCCTTTTTTTATAGAAAGGCATTAGGTACTTCACAATCCAAGGTGCTATTCTTTCTTTACATGCCGCTAAATGTTCTTCTATACAGATTGGTGAGTCCGGTATCATTTCCTCTTCGTCAGATTCTCCAAATAGCTGAAGGAATTTTTCCTTTAACCTACCGTACTTTCGGTAATCGCTCAATGATAATTCAGTCATTATCACTTTCAGTCTCGATACTTGATGCACACGTTCTACCAGCCAAACAGCATTTAACCTCTCTTTCTGTTTTAAGCTTTTTACATCAATTATTTCGTTCTCATTCAATTCCTCTGGTTTATTGATTCTCTTATTTCGCATTTCTTTATAGCGACTGTAACTGACTTTACCCTCACTCGTATTTCTTTTTGCCGCGTTAGATACATTATTAGTTATATTCGATATTTTGTTATCTTGTGATACATGCAGACTCGCGATAGTATCGGCATTTAAATATATATCATTGATTTCTTTATCAACATTAGCTTTATTAACACCAGAATACTTTTCTATTAATTTCGTAAGATCGCTGCTATCGTCGCTCTCACAAAACATATCCTCCATATGTTGTAATATCGAATCTTGTGAATTGTCATCATTTTTTATTGCAATTGCGTTAATCATCGCTTGAGAATCATTCCTATTCTCAATTATTTGACTAGAATCATTAAATATTTCTTTCACAAGATCTTCATTGTGAGACATTTGTATATCCATCTTCATTGTGAGACATTTGTATATCCATCTCATTGTCAAGTTCCTGTGTGACATTTTCGTTTTCAACAAAATTGGTAGAATTTACAATGGGTGATGTTTCTTGCAACATTTCCTCAGAGTTAGATGTAATACACACACTTTGTATATTATCTGTTCCATGTGAATCCACCAATCTATCATCTGTTTGCACAGCGATATCAATTTTGTCCTTAGGTGCTTCTAAAAATATTAATAACTTTTTGTATATTTTCTTCTCAACAGTGTGCGATTTTATATCCGTAATCTGCAAAGATCAACAGATTACAGCATTATACATATGGTTAGCAAGTGATTAGATTAAATTTGTTAATATTCTTACCATTTTCAGCATGTTTTTTCTATATAAACTGGATTCTAATGCAAAGTGGATAGCTTTTAGTTCCATATGATCTGCACATTTTTTTACCTCAATATTTCGTACATTTTTATTGCTTTGTCCATAATAAGTTATATAATTACTAAGTAAACATTTGTGAAGATATGACAAATATACAGCACGAACCTATGTAAATGACAAATTATGTAATAATTGTTTTTAATAATAGTATTTAATGATACACTAAATAAAAACATCTATATCTTTTATTTTATTCAATATGAACCTATATAAAAGATAGTTTGCTACAAATATTTTTATTAAAATATATTTTATACGTGTATAAATATTTTCATTTATACTAATATGTTAAACAGGTATATGTTGTAATATTTTCCTGTATCATAAAAACATTGTCAAAAAAGATATAGGCAAATAATTTCATCACTTACAACACATTGAAATATAGCGCTACTTAAAATTATCTGACTTTGCTAACTTGAAAAATTAAATTAAAAATTAAAAGTCTAATTTAATTATATTATCAATTTATTGTCATTGTCAACACTGAAAATATATAACTTATATTAAGATTATAAATTTCCCTTTGAATTATGGTACTTATGTTCCAGTTAAATGTATACAATGTTTTCATATATGTTTGAAACAAACATATATATAATCAAACATATATATAATTTGTATATATTCAAATTAATTGTATATGTTTGTTTTATACAAGAAACAGCCAAACTAGGAAAAGAGTATATGTTGTAAAGAAAATACAAAATGCATATAAAATATACAACAAAAAATACATATATACATACCATTTCAGTAATACATATAGACTCACTGTTGGGTGATAGTGATCCACTATTTATGACAGGATTATTTGTAGAAATCAATGGCAAGGGCATCGAAAAGGGACTGTCATCACTGTCATCAGTGCTCATATCGCTATCGTCGTGACTGTTATTGCAATCTTGTTCTTTCTTTATTGGAAACGACAGAGTAGTATCGATACGATCTGTTGCCATCATTGTGCCGAATATTTTGTAATTATCACTGAGATGTTAAGTTACATCACAGATCATCTAAAACGAGCGTCCTATTGGATATTAATATAATGATGCACATTAACGGTTATGTTGTGTAATAGCTGAAATCTCATGACACTTATTTTTCTATTATCTATTCAAAAATACGTCGAAAGTAAATTATTACAATTCCAATCACTTAACGTTAGGACGCTATTGCGTCGATTAACCTAACAAGCTAAAACAGGGGGTTCAAACTCACCTCTTGTGAGAAGGGGAACGCTATTTTCAGCGCCGCCTGGAGCACCAGCGGAAATAACGAACTAAAAAACGAGTGGTGGGAAGGTTGCCGCCATATTTAAACCATATCGCGCGCGCGTGGTACATACTTATAGATATTAAAATTAAATTTACAAGTTCCTGAGCGCTATTGTAAAGTTTAAATGTTATTTACGTTACTTAAGACTACGTAAAAAATGTTTCACAAACTTAAAATAGTTTTCACTTGTAATCTCAAGTACAGTAAATAACAGTTAAATTTAACAACATCGCTCAGAAACTTATCACTTTATGTTATTAATTTGTGCAAACAGTATTATTGGGAGGATTGTAATCAATATATTATACGTTAATATTATATTATTAAAATATATTACAATACACATAAAGATATTTATCAATATATACATTTGTATATTTAATTACATTAAAATAGGATATAATTACATATTATTTTTATTAGTTTTTTGTTGTACAAAAATTAAAATATAACAAAATATATATATAACAAGTAAATATAATAAGTCAACTATTTGAAAAAAAGTAGTAAAAATAATAATATTATAATGTTAAATTATGTTACATGTATTGCTAAATTATAAATATTATATATGTATATATAGATATAAATATAAATATATATATATATATATATAATGTAATTCACATATCAAAATGTTTTATTAAAATTGTAATTGTATTATAACTGTGACTATAACTAATAACTATAATATATTATATAATAAACTAAAATCTCATATATATTATAATATCTAATGTAATAAATGAATAATATATAAACTAATAATATATAATATAATATCTAATATAATGATATATAAAATATTGTAATAATAATAATATATATATATATATATATAATGCAATCACTATTAATCACTAATAATAATTAAACACTATAAATTAAACACTTAAACACTATAAATCACTTATACACTTAAACACTATAATTTACTACACAACTAAAAATGAACAAGAACACGTTATAATATATTATAGAATATTCACTACATAAACACTAATAGCATTGAAGAATTTGCGTTTAGCGTTAACTGCACTGTACTGTATTGAATTGTTTAACTATTAACGGTCAACAACGAGGCAAAACAAGTCAAAATCAACTTATCGACAAGGAGGAAAGAGAAGAAAAGAGAGGGATCGACTGTGCTGCCGCCTGGAGCACCGACCACTGAACTGAACTTCCGGAGCCAAAAAATACGGCGAGTTTGAACCACCCTAAAAGCTTATATGTATCACAGAAAAACTGGCGCACGCAGTTTAAATTTTTCGTAAGCAGTAACTCCACTTATTTATAGAGTGCAGTAGGGGAGAGACATTGTATTTAACATCCAATCGAAGTTTTCCTTCCTAGGGAATAATATTTTTGTTTCTAGAAAATACGTTAGGTGCCAAAAGTGTAACACACATTGCGGCTGAAAAGACAAGCTTCTGATTGGTTAGCTGTTCTTCGATACTAGCCATAAATAATCAAAAGAGTTGTTAATTATGGATTGGTATTTACTACATTTGATACGTGAGCCTCAATATCCAATGGAAAGACTTGAAATCTGTTCTTTACAGTTGCACCTTCTGATACCTAGAAAATCCAGTGATAACTTTATCTCTAGAAAACAAATCCTCCTTCGAGTATTCAAGTTCTCCTTTAATATTTTGTTGTTATAATGTTAATATAATATATTCCACACACACACACATACACATTAATATTAATGTAGTTTCATTTACATAAAAATTTCATTCTAATTTTAACGGTTGAAACTTAAATCTTCTAACCAATCATAGTACCCCATTATGACGACCAATCAACAATGCACATTTGTATGATTAAATATTTGAATTTGAATGTTTCCCAAGAAGGATAAGCGCATGCGTATACAAGAAATTCCCTTCGTTTTCTATAAAGATGCGTGTCGGTATATGCTGCGAATGCTGTTCGTTTTACATGAAATATTTAACGACATATTATGTACTCGGTGGCACAGTCTGCACTACAATGTTATATACTGAATATAAAAAGCACAGCAACAAGGAGTGACGACAATGAACGACTTATTTCGGTAAGAATTTGCGATATCTTTTTCTGCCTATACAGTCCGGGGCAAGTTACAAAAGAGTTTTGGAGCTATTTTTTCGAAGATTATATTTCTGTAATATCAAAGAGATACGACGCATTCACTCCAATATGCAGAATGGATGGAATATTAAAGAAATTTAAGTTTGGTAAGATAAACTCGAGGAATATATGTAGATGTAATATGTAATATGTAGATGTAATATTCTCCGAAATTTCCTTTCCCGAGTGTGAATCAATGTGATCAACAAAAAACATACCCACCATTTTATTTGAAATTGCATCCACCATTTTGGGGGTACATAAATGCAATGATATACTCTAAATCTTAAAAAATGCTTTAAACCTAAAATATATTCTAGATCTCAAAAATATTGGAATAACAAAATTTAACAGAATATAAAATTTAACAGAATATTAAAGGAATAAACTCGAGAGGTGCCCATATGTGTAATATTTTCATTTCATCTATTTTAATTTCTCGCGAACTTCAATTTATCTATACTTTATTTTGTAAACAACTTATTTTTTTCTCTTTTAGAGTCTTTAACGAAGATATATAAACTAAGACTTTATTAGACTTCATTTGACAAGTGTATCGAGAAGTATATATTACAATTAAGATTAGGCAATCGTACATGATTTAACAATTACTTAACGTTAAGTCGACGACAATTCATTCGGCCTGATTCTTTTTGCTTATTCAGTTAATGCGTGGCTAGTCGATGAGTTGAAGTAATATTCTACACGACGTTTGTTTGAAGCAAATGATGCTTAGAATCAAACTGCCACATTTAAGACTAAAAGTATGCTTAGAATATGGTTCATTATTCTTATAATCCGTTCTAAAAATGCCCATCTTCGACGTCGACAGAAACTGGGCTGCCGAACGCTCTTTGCTCATCCCTGGCTGTGCCGACATTTTTCCTGTCACTTCGAGAGGACTTCCGATCCTGCGATGGTTCCAGTGTGCCAAAGGATGATGTGTGCGATGATATCGGCGGGAAAGGTGCTGTGGGAGCGACTGAATCTGCAGTATTGGGAGCAGAATTCGCACTCTCCTCCAAAGGTCCACTCAGGATCGAATCAGGTGATCCGTTGTTGAACGATTGCTCGATCGACGCCACAGCGTTGGTGGTGGTATTGATATTAGGTGTAGTCGTGCTTGTGATATTATTAGTGATCGTAGTATCACCTGCAGCAAGCTCACTCGATCTTGTCGATGGAGGCTTATTCTCTTCAGGAACTGTCGAGGTGCGTCGCACAGGCGTTTTTCGCTGACTGTCACCATGCATGGCTTTAGTTAGATTAGTTGATTTTGCTCAAAATTGAAATGAATAGGCAATATGCATCAAAAATGGCGCTTTTGAGAATGACATGTTTCATTCGAGATAGAATTCAATTGATAGACTTTTGGAGTTGACATATAAAATCAATTTTCAATATTATTGAATTCTTCCGAATATAGAAACATAGAATAATTAAAGTACTATATTTGATGCGACTTAATATGATCATATAATATAAATTACTACATCTGCAAAGAAGAAAGTATAGTTTTCTTAAATCTTTACAAAAAAAATGAAGAAAGTATATTTGCATATAATTATGATAATGTAAGTGAGGATATAAAGTATAGAAGACAAAACGATAAAAATCGAGGTGTGAGGAGTCGGAGGTAAAAGGACTATTCTTTAAGAGGGTTACTTACTTGTTGATATCTATGGGGGAAATTCTTTGTTCCGGACTGATCATGGGCCGATTACTATTATCCCACGAATTGTGACGACGATGGTTATTCTTGTCTTTATAGGCTTCGGCAATATTGTTGTAACTGCCGACAATTCTACGTTTGTCGAGCTCCTTTAACACCTTTTCTGGCATACTACCAGCTGATCTGTACAATGCACTGTTGTTCGTATGCTGTACAGGCAAAACATACATTAATGACATGACACAGCAAGAAATAAAAATAATATATAAAATGAAACAAATAATATTAATAGTTATAAATATTATGACGTGATAAGATGACGATGTAGAAACGCAATTATTTTTATAACAACGACTTTCCTAAAACATTTGTAAAGTTTCACTTTTATTAAAATTTTACGTTTCTCTAAATGTTAATAAAAATATTTAATTTTCTATGTATAAGTTAATTCTTACAAACATAAATTATCATTATATTATATATGTATGCTTCAGGTAGCGAAAATGTGATCGTACCCGCGAAAAGGAATACACTGGGCTAGGAGCAGCGTTCGGATTGGTCCAGACATTCGTCGCGCCAGGTACATCTTCGTTATTATCGTTTAACAATTCCGCCGAGTACGAAGGTCGTGCTGGTATTATAGGTGATCGACAGCATACCCTATAGAGAACAGAATAATAAAGTACAATAATAAGATGTGGCGTGTATGTACAAAATATTACGTAGAAGGTGCAAAGCACAAATGGATTGCGAATTTTAACTTTTACATCAATGCTCGAATAATCGCGAAAGTTGTAACTAATGCTGTCGTGAGCTTACGAATTCACGTCCTCGAGTTTCTTCAACAATCTTTCGTTTTCTCGGCAAACGAGTTCCTGGTCCCGTATCACTTGGTCCCTCGTAGCGTAGAGTTCTGCATTTTCGCGTCGTAGCGCTTCGTTTTCGGTTATATATGCGTGTATCAACTGGCTGAGCTCTGAGCTCTCCATTTCTGCCAATTTTTCGAGATCCACCGGTGGTGGTGTTAGGGATATTAACCTGTCGGCTGCAAAACAAATTTTTAGAATTAATCGATAAAAATGGTATGGGAATAAGTGTATAACTTTTCTTATCATTGTTAATTAAATAACTAAGACGAATAGTACTTTTAGATTCGCTGCGAATCTCATTTTGAGCTTCGGTACTAAGATTAAGGGCAATCCTCAGATGGTCGTTCTCGGTCTGAAGAGCTCCGACTTCGCGTTTTAAGCTGAGGATCAGAGCCTCGCGTGGGTCCTGAAAGTTACATTCATTAATTTCACACAATTATTTTTCTTGTAGATCAAAATTTGTTAAGGGAGAAATTACAGATTAAAGATTTTTCTAAGATAATTTATACTCACCATTACAACAATGGGTTTCGTAAAAATCTTTTTGGCTCTTGCAGCGTACCTCAAGGTGTTTAAAGTTTCGCTCGCATTCGAACGAGCTGGTGAAACACAGGCAATCTAGAAATAACCATAGTAATTACAGTGCCTCTTTAAGTTAAGTTCCATAGATAAGAATATTTTTAATAATAATTGTTTTCCATTATTACATAATGATACAATTCAGATAATCTAATATAAAAGTTTTTATTATATTTTTACAAAGTTAGATTATTTCTTTTTATTTTTTATATATATATTTTCCTTTATTTTTTATCTTCTTCAATTTCCACAACGTTTCAAAACTTTATTTTTAAGTATTTTTAAGTATTAGAAATTTATATAATTCCTCATTTCATTTTTATCTTCACTGATTTACTTTCACTTATTCATTCTTCTTTAAAACCCGTTAATCTTCTTCAGAAGATTAATAGTCCAAGTTGTAGCGATATTTAAATAATCCGTTTATGACCGTAATATATTAACGTTATCACGTAAATAACGTGAATGTTTTCAATGTTGTTGTGGAAAGACTATCGCAAGATCGATCGCCGTTTAAAAGCCGTCACAACAGTCACTCTTATCTATTTACCATCAACGTAACGCCATTTCCGGCAAGGCTGTCGGCCAAGAGCTTCGTCAATTTGCTGTCTCGATAAGGAATATGGCCCCCTTTCCGTTTTCCATCGCTCAAGGAAGCGATGCAGTATCCTACGCAAACACAAACATCAGAAAATATATCTCAGAGTGTTCGATATAATATTTATAAAGTATCCAAGCAATGAGTTAAACACAGTAGAATACGAAATAATTAAAAAAATAATTAACAAGTTGCTCTTAGCTTTACGATGCGTGACTGTCTTTACCTTGAAACTGTTATTTCTCGATTGTTGACGCAAGTGTATCGTTTATGTAAAACGATGTTATATCTAGTCAACCGAAATACCGATGTCTTTGTAGCAATCACTATCTATCTATCGCATAGTAGCTGATAAAAAAACGAGAATACCAGGAAGTGCGCGAAATAAAAATTAACCCGCGAGAAATCTTCGTCTCTGCATTTCGCAGGAAATCGCGAGTGGAATCGCAAAAGTTCATCGATCAATTTCCTAGGCGGAGGGAGGATACGCGGAAGCCACGTCTTTCCACATGTCAGTAACTTAATAGTCCGCTATCGATTTCTTCAGCTATTCTAAATAATAGACGCGCCGTAATTTCAATGTCAAGCGGAATCATTTTAATTTTGTTCGTCAATAAATTATAATTGCTATTTACGGCGAGGTGATTGCAGAACGACGTGAATTTCTTGAATTTATGCATAACGTACTGCGATTAAGCAGCTTATTATTACAAATCGAAGACGTGATAATGATAGACGAATAATTGAAATAAGTTGTTATGATACTTTGTCATGATTGCTCTGAAATATTTTTATATTTTTTTTTTCATATTTTTATGACACATATACACGCACATATATATAGATGAATTTACCTAACACCATAAGACTCTTGTTAATGTTGTTCGCTTCTTCCAAGGTTTTGCCCTCGCTTTGAGTTTTCTTCGTCATTTCGCTCCCAGCGAGGTCCACGAAATTAATCTTGCCTTGTTTCGAGATGAACACACCGTTCTCCATCTGGAAATAGATACGTTCTCTTTAGTTTTTGACGTAAATTAATTTGATCACTCGGGAAACCGAGATGAGATAAAATAAACAGACGAAGCAGATTTTTGTACTCTACGCTATTTTTAATACATTCAACGTCTGTATGTGTGACGCTCAACGTTTATTTTAATCATGTCACGAGGGATATATATATATATATATATATATATATATGACAAGATGAAATCATAAAACTGTTGAAATATTTACTCACTGCTTGTTCCGAAGTTATATTTACAGTCAAAATCGAGTGGCTCCTGCTAGAATATTCGTTCATATTGTGCGTACCAATAGATCTATTTCTCATTCCTGCAAAAATGATAATTAAATTTTAAATATAATTAAATGGTATTATAATTAAATAATATGACATGTATAAAATAAAATGCGCAGAGCAAAATTTTATCGATTAGCTAAGATGTAAGGAGATAGAACAAAGATGTTGAATAGAATTCAGAATAGTTACAATTTTACGATTAATTTTTTCAGAGAAAAAAGATCAGTGTGGAACATTAATGAAAAATATTTCTAATTAAATCCGATAGTTATCCGAACGTCAGTTTCAGGACGCGTAGATAAAAATTTCGATATTTTACGAAATTCAAAATTTTATTTCATTCCCTATTGAGATCTTCTGCTTATTAAAATTGTACCTTCTTCAAGAACCGCTAGAAGATCATCCAGCTCTTCGCATTCTACCGTGAAGAGATTTTCGACAAAAAAACCGCGTGTCTTCTTACTCCATCGAACCGCCAGTGGTTTCCTCGAAGTGCCGGGATTTAAGAGATCTATCACCTGTTTTTGAATTAATTCATCTGTCGTTTCATCGCCATTATTTTTACAAGAGAAATTGTTTGTACCATGCAGATTATTTTATCTCGGTGTTTCGATTAATTAGCAAATTATTATTTTATATCTTCAAAAAATTATACCTTCTCATTATAAATTTCCAGGAAGGAAGCTTTCAACACAAAATTGCAGTTTTCCTGTTTTTGAAGGACCTTAAATAGGTAGACGAAGGAACGGAAGACCAAACCGTGGTCCTCCGAGTAAGGATTCATCTTTTCGAACTGTTATGAAAAGAATATATTAATTGCAAGGATGTGTTGATATATTTTTCATTCAACTCGTCATTCAATTTTTTGCTCTTTTATCTCAAGAATACATATATATTGTTTGGCTTTCTCATTACTTTCAAGGGACACTCATTGTTAATTTCTTTCAAGTCCCGCTGTTTCACACGATACTTACGTGACCTATCGAAATTTTTTAATAACGCGTTTAATCGAGAAACGGCATTACGTGTGACTTGGACGCGCTGTATTATCTACGAAAGACGATCAACTTTAACCTTCCGACTACCAGTACGTAGGTATCGATCGTTAACGTCACCGTACGTTTACGTATCCGTTGTCTCCTGCATGTAGAGACGGCCGCGTCGCATCGCTATTATAAAAAAAAAAGCGTACTTCGCTTCAAACTTCAAACTTTTCGACGTAGTCGTTTTTAGCACTTGAATATGATATTGTGATGCGCGAAGGACGATCGATTCTTACGAATTGAACCGAATTCCTGAGAATGTCGAAAATGCGAGGTGGATTTTTAGGGAACGAAAAGATTAGAATGAAGAGATCTCTTTTCTCGTTCACTCACAAGTCTCGGAGGTCCGGTCAGCGTGTGTGTCTTGCCACTTCCGGTCTGTCCGTAGCAAAACGCGGTGCAGCTGAAGCCTTCCACCGCCATCTCGATGAGGTTCTTAATGCCGGAGTACTGCAGGATATCCTCCTGCGTGGCGTTGGGCTCAAAAACCACATTATAGGAGAATAACTTCGGTTTCCTGTCGCCGCTGCTTGTGATCGCGTCGCACTACGAATATTTGCGAGATGGTAAATACAGGATAACGTAAAGTAACGCTTTTACAGAAGCTTGAAGAGCTTGGAGCAACGACGAAAACTGAAAGAGAGTTTGAACGCGGAACGGACAAATTCCTGGGCGAAATTCCTATTCGAAATAACGCCTGTGAATTTATTCAGAATAAATACCATATATCAACGCGTTACGTCGCTCCACCCAAAGCGTCTGCAAATGTAACGCGATCGAACGAGATCGATTCCTCGGCTGAAAAATCTCGGGATAAAACTCTATCTTCGTACTCACGTATATTTGGCCGTCGCCGGGAAACTGCACGACCATCTCGTCACCAGCTTTAATCTCTTTATTATTGAGCGGACGGACCCTGCGAATAGCGACGGCACTAGTGATTGCGACGATAATTGCAGCTTTATTTTAACCCGGCCAACATTAGAACGAATCGAGGCTAAATACCTGACCACGACGTTTATGTTGTTCTCTGGAAGTAGATGTTTGGTCGCGATTACCCGTCTATCGCCATCTATCAATTTTTCGATGCTACCGACCCTGAAAGCACACACGGCGATATTATATATTCGGCACACGTTACCGTTAGTATTCTATCACTGGTCTAGTTTGATCTACTTTCGACATTTACGGAAGTAACCACCCCTTTCCTTTTTACCCATACAGTAATGTAAGATCATACAAAGAGTATAGGGGGACGGGGGGGAAGGAGAGTCGGTCAAGTTTAATCGTATATTACATTTAAAGATCACCCCATGGTGGAACGCGAATTCCACGAAATCTTCAGGTGTAATTCTCCCGAGACCGATATCGTCGTTCCGTATGAAGTGTTGTCCTCTTTAAAGGAAAATAATCATCGCTCGTTGCTATTTATAGCAACCGAAAGCGATTAATCATCGTTGAAATGAATTATCTCCGAGGACCGCGAATATCGCGCGCCATTGCGTGCGTTTTCTTCGATGCACGATTAAAAATTCCCCTGTGGCCGGTCGCCGGCCGCGTCAACGAAGCTCTTATAGTTATTAACGGGGTACGCGCGTATCAACGTCACCGGGAAGCGGCGGTTATTACTATTATTACACATGTAATTGCTCCGCCGGCCACGAGGCGGTTCTATTATTAAATCGCCGGCGATCGGCCGGGTAATTCCACAGATTAGCGGCCGGCGTTCCATGAATGCCCGATGGCGAAACGTTCGATATCGATACGGAACTGTCCAGTCAATCGTTCGATTGACCTCCAATCGCGCCGCGGCAACCCTCATAATTCACGAAGCGTCTGCCGATCGAAGCGCATTCGCGCGCAACGTCGCGCGCTATATCGCGTGTCCGGCCGGCTTTCGTTCTCTCGCGACGCCGAAGCGAGCAAACCTCCCCGAAGTCGCGAGAGACCACCGATGATGATCAATGATTCAGGATCTCGGGGCCGGTATCGGTAAATATCGGGTCGTCGCGTTGATCGCTCCAACGGCAAACGTTCCGCGTGCCGCGTGATGATCAGTGAAAAATGACGACAACGTAAGGCGGCCTCTTAAGGGAAATTAAGAGGGAGCACAAAGATATTCGGAGTTGATGACTGAAATTACGTCAACGTTCAGCAGGCAAGGTCTCAGGTTTCGCAGCCGGGGCAGGGCAGCTGATAATTCCCGCCGGGCGTCGCCGATCGTTCAGTTTCGCGCTAATTTTCTTACGCCTCCTTCGTTATGTTTTATTAATTTCGCCAAGTTGGTGCGAGAGGTGGAGAGAGTGAGGGGTGACTGGCACCTGTGAGAATAACCGAGGCGCTACGATTGGCATCGCGAGCCCGATGTATACGTATGTGCGAACGCGACCTTACCACATTGTGAGCGTCCGCAGCGTACAACAACAAAAAAATCGCATGCGGAATCGCGTCTGGAATCGCCACTTCCGTATCGTAAAACCGAACCGGAGCCTTTTTTTCACGCTGCTAAAATGAGACATATCGAGCGTCGTCGCGTGCGAAAATGACGAGCTACTCGTATCGGAAGGTATTTATCTGTTTGGCGAAAAAGAAAAATTGCTCTCCTCTCGTGCTATTTTATCGCACACTCGCGGACGAGGTTTTACGATCAGCAAACGCGCGCGTTTGCGTCATTTATTACGGGGAAACGACTAAAAATTTTCATTTGCTTTATCAACGTAGCAGTTATCGGCTGTACTCACGGCGCGTGACTAATGAACTCGATCTAGCAGATCCGCTCGATTCCATCGCGCAATTTTTCTCCGGTCTCGCTTATCCCGTCAATTTTATTAACTCGCTAATCTCATTTGGCTCTTTTTACTTTGTGCAGATTCCGCGATCCGCGATAAGGCGAGCAGGATTTGTGCACGTATATAGGATTATGCGTGGCGTCCCTTTCTCCGCTCCACACGTGTGTGAATCGCGTGCTGGGTGAGTCATTGTTTAAGTTTTTACAGTAATTGTCGTACTACGCGCGAGCGCAGTCGTCACGTACGTTGCCCTCGCCGAACTCGCCGTAATCGCAAAAATCGTTCGACTCGTCTCGTGATTCGCAAGTTTTCAGTGTCTTCTTCCGGACAGTAATTAACACGTGCGCAGACGCGCACAATGACAACGGACACACAGCGCACGTTTACGGCAGTATTTCGATGTGGCTTATCGATTGCGGGACCTTGCGACCTCTTCGTAGTCACAGCCGCCGATAATGACCACGCCGTATACATAGGCACATAAATATCGCCCGCGCCTTCATTTCTCTTTCCTTCTCGTGACTGTGTGCGTATATATTTTACATACGATGATGGGGATGGGCTTTTTCATGGTCACGGCGAGCAGGTCACACATGAGATTAAAATGACGCGCACCGTTCAAACAGAGTCGCGTGTTTACTGTAAATTCCGGTACGCCGATCACTGCGAAAGAGGCATCGCAATACAGCCCGTTATTTGCAATATTGCATGAAATATTTAAATTTCTTCAGAATGTTCACGTTCGCGTGATACGAGTCGTTTCGCAGTTTATCGGAAAATCGTACGCGGAATATATTCCCCTGCGTTATTCTCGCGCGACTCGAGCATCTATCTCATCGAGCAGAATTTTAATCGTATCGATAATAACGGAAACGAAGAGAAACGCAATTAGACAACATTAAGATGATGAACTCGGAGCTAAACCGCACATCGCTGCTGTTCGATCGCTTCATCAGATAAGTCTTGTGGAACAAAAAGCCTCTAATTGCTCTTATCTCTCGTGTGAATTTGCACCATTTTAATCTCGGTTGCATCGGTGATGTAATATTTTACAATAATATAAAATTTCATATCGACCGGCCAAGAGAAAAAGAGGAAGGGAGGGACACACACACACAGAGAGAGAGAGAGAGAGAGAGAGAGAGACCGCAAGGTCTCGTAATCGATAGACAACATTGGAGCGTGCTATATACCGTAAATGTGCATATATTCATTGTCGCACGCGTATGTTGTTTTACCTAGTGACGAGCGTGAGGTGGAGTTTACATAGGCACCCCCACGTAAAATTGAATACAAGCTCACGAAGCTCGCTAGTTACTGTCTCTCTTAATGACGTGGTGTCGTCATCTCTGTCCCAGATCTTCCGGACGATTTCCAGCTACCTGTCAATTTTTCGCGCCGGCTTTTCCCGAGAGCGCGTCTTTTTCTCGCGAAACCGCGACGAATCGACCGGGCAATTTTCCAAATGCGAGACTGCTGCAAGTGTCGAGATTAAACCCGGCAGGTGAACGTCCAGGGTAAATGGGAAAGCAATACAAATGTAGCACAAAATGTTTCGGGTTTCATAGATCATCGCTCGTAGGAACAATGGAGCTAACCGATTATGTAACTTTATAACTCTGTATCGAGGGAATTCTTTTCTCGCAAATGTGGGCGAGCACCATAATCGCCATAACGCGCTTGTATCTTTCGGACTTAAGTGGGACACTTACACATCTTCATTGGCAAGCTTTCTTACTCGCTTTATCGATCAATTGTTTGCTCTTATTTTGCGCGAGCGGATCGATGTGTATAAAATATCGAGCAGCGATCGTGTGCGGCTGACACTTTTCCGCCGGAGAGAAAATCACCTCAATTTGTGCCCGTTTGTGATATCTGTTAATTCTCTACGTGTGCCGCGCAATCGCGCGTCGCGCCGATGTTATCGACGATAAATCAAAACGTGGTAAAGTACATTCCGATATGATCGCGCTAAATCATTATTTATCGCGTATTTGTACGAACGCTCTGACCTGTCGTATATAGATCACGTCGAGAAGTTTCTTTTGTCGACTTACAGAACAGTTTGTACGCGAAATTATCGCTAAACGAAGAAATCTCACACGTGGGAACTTTGGGCGAGAACTCCATCACGCGACTTCCCGAGCTACTTGCGAAAAGCGCCACACAATTGCGGATTCCCAACTCGTTCGCTCGTTATACTTAATCTACGTCTCCGACTGCGTCGTCGTATCGATCGCCCGCGTGATTACGTGAATTTGTTTCGTGGTAATTTTGTCGCCGGGACGTTATTACGCGCGTTGCCTCCGACGTGTTCGTCGCGGCGCGAAAAACGCGTCGGTACGTTTCGTCGAAGGAACGACTGTAATCTGTAATCGGAGGAGCCATATCGTGAATTCGCCGGCTAAGCTTTCCATTCAGATCAACCCTCCGATAATCCGGGGATTTCCGATGTACGAAACGAGAAATTTATTGGACGGGACAAACCATCGAACTACTTCTCGGAAACGTATCTCGCGTTTGTAAGTATAATAACATTCATTTTCGCCGTGTCCGTTCTCGATATATTTTATCTTAATGTCTCTTTTGTTTCCCGCGAGTAATTTCTGCGTTAATTCGCGGTGAACAGCCGGATGACTTTTTTATCGACAGTCATTTCATCGCCCCAGAGAGAGAATTTCAATCATTCGATAACTACACAGGGTGTTCCCGGATTAAGCCGAACGTTTACTTATAGAACACGCTAGCGCAATTTGACCGTTTGATTGTGAAACTATCTATTTTCTCTTTTCATTCTTCTCTAGCAAATACATCTCCCTCGATATTGTTTCAAGTCGTCGAGAATCGAAATTTCTCCCGCTCACCTTCCGCGTGTTCAAATCTCTCTCTCGACGAGTCACGAAAGGTTCGCGACCAGAACACCCTGTATAATTCCAACACCAAACGTTACTTTCGATAGTGTTGAAGGCACTCACTCGTTGCCCTGTGATTGCAGAAGCGCACTTTTCCCCTTTTCCTTGGCATTGAAGCTGCCGCTCTTTCCTGGACTATTTCCTCGGGAACTATTCCGCTCGGCGGGGCTGTTTCCTCGCGAACCCCGGCCTTTCCTTCTCCTCTCGTTCTGCCCATTTTCTCGTGATGGGCTCTGACCGCGCGTCGGAGACGGATTTTTCACCAGCACCATCCGTCAACCTGAGCGCAAACCTGAGCGTTAAGTTAATTCGCAATCGGTGAAGACAGACGATCATGGAGAAGACCGAAAAAACAATTCGGGTATTAGAAAATCAAGAATGACGTGCCGGAAGAGGCAACATCGCGAGGAATTCCACACGAGACGAAGTCAATCTTCTTCTTTTTAATCGAAAAAATGCAATCGTCTCGACACAGTTCACTCGCGTGTCTTTCCTCTCTTATGAATATAAAATCATCCTTCAATTTTAGAATTCGCGTTGAGACAGTTGATCTTGCGAATGTTGAGTCTCTCTGATGTTAAAGAAGCATTAGGTTAACGAGATGTGTTACTTAGAATTGCTCTTATCTCCCGCGAATCTTTTGCCAAATGTGTAAATTCGACGAACATTTGCGCAATCATCATGCGTGTACTCAACGGTCGGCTAATTACGAACGTTCGCTTCAGCACTCGATTCGTTCGCGAATCCTCGCTTGCGATGATAATTAGCTATTATCGCAATTAGAGCGAAAGTTGCCTCGAGAATTGCTCTGGAAACTGATTTGGAAACGTGAATGTGATAAACGCGCCGGTCAAATGAGAATGCATTTCGGACGAGCTCGATTTCATCTGTCAGTTCTATCAGGATAATTAGATTAATTGTTACTCATTAGCAAAAATATCGATGCGCTGTGGGACTGAGATCGCGCCGCGGAAGCATTGAAATCACCGACGTCGGCCTTCGCGACCGCTCGAGGGATGAAATTTGCTTTCCTCCCACGGAATGACATCACCGTTCCGAAAGGCCGCGTTTCGCGCCAAGAGAAAGCGAGCGGGCGAGCGAGTAAACTAATAATAAAAACATTTACATGATTCATTAAAATGCAGATCGCAATTTCCCCGCCTACTGACACCGAGAGAAAGAATCGCGAAACTTAACGACCGATTAAAACGACGGCCCGTCCCGAGCAAATTGCGGCACACAAATGTACCTGAGCGTCTACCGCGCTTTCCAAATTTTATTATTTCCTTCCCGATGGAATTTATTACCTCGCGATGAACGCGACGAACGTCGTGGCTCGCAAAAATAAGAGAATCGCTCGCGTTTTATTATGATTATTATTATCAGCCATTCGTGAAAAGCGCATTCGAGCACAGCGAAGAAAACGTTCATCTCTGGCTGACGGAGCAGCGGAGGAGAGCTTTCATAATTGAAGAGATCGCTCATCGATAAACCACCACAGGCACATGACGTCTTCAAGGGTGTATAGTCAGACGACTGACGAAAGCGCACTTACTTACATTCGCAATCTTATGTATCGTCCGGAAAAAAATGTCCTTTGCACCTCCCCGACACTAGAAGCGCCACCCACGACGGCAAACACGCACCCCTGTCGACGAGCGAGCGACGCAATTTTTCTCTCTTTTTCTTCTCTTCCCAATCGTGAAATTCGCGGATCGACGGAACAGAAGAAAAGCGATCTACGTATCGTCGGATCGAGGCGGAGAACTCAAAATCGCGAACATCCCGCGCGAGATCGAGATCGAAAAGCGACCGTGGAAAATTGTTGGGAAAACCGCGTGCTCTAACAACAACCGCCGGCGCCGTACTGACACTGCCATCGGCGATGGGGTGAGTCTTGACCCACCACGAGGGTGTAGTTCTCCCTACTGTCGGTGTCGCGCAACGCGATCGAAAGCAGGCGGTCACACGCGTGGGTGCTCGTCACAACACCACCACCACCTGCGTAGTTGCTAACCTGGCCGCCTGAAATCAACCTCGCCGCCCGGTACGGTCATCGTCCACGTGGACGATGGCTTGGAGTTACCTTGTCGCGAACTTGACATCGCTACGACAGCGACAGCGACGATGTGTTTACGCGATGCCGAATGGTGTCGGTGACAGCGACTTGGCTTTGTTTACCTTACCGACTAAAGACTGCTCCAAGACGTACCGACTCACCTGTCGAAGAACAATGTAAACACATGACTCTGTTTACTTTCCTGCCCTTCATCCCGTTCTTCTAGTTTTCCACGGCAAATTTCGACCTTTTCGCTTCGGCTTCTCACGGAGCCAGCTCCTCTTTGCGATCATACTTGCTTGTCGCGATATCGCGAATTTAATAATTACGATAAGTGGAAAATATATTGTTATTCGCGTTTCTATTATATTAATAGTATTAATATTTAACAATTACCACATATATTGGGGCGTCGTAATTATCATCTCGACTACTCGCCGGGAACGATTTTGAAAAATATTTTCGTTCCGTTCGAACGTGAGGTTCGAAGTGGTAGAGTACGGTAGACGCTAAAAATACAAGCGGATTTCTCTGCGAGCGGTTTCCGATGTCGAATTTCCGGGTTGCCGCACGATGCATAATAAAGTTGAGTGCACTCGATTATCCTCGAGACCGTCGTTTGTATTAGACGAGGGAACATGCGCTCGCCTTTCCACTCGTCCAGATATTACTCCCTGAAACGGCTTCTTTGTGCGCCTTGTGCAACACCGGATGAAGGTTTTACGGTAACCAGAAGACGGCACAATTTGTCGCGCTACGTCGACGTTGACGCGCTGACAAACGACGAGCCCGAAGAAAATCGAGGGAGCTCGTTTGCGAAACGTCGCAAAACTATATTTAAAAAAATTAATAAATAATCATACAATAAAAGAACGGCGGAAAATTCACGGTCTCTCAAACGTACGTGATCTTTGTACTCCAAAAATAAATATGAACGTTTCGAAAATGAACTCCTCGACCGACGACAAATATCGAAGAAGCGAGCGCAGATATCTCGCGCGAAATCATTACGATCTGTCATCCGGCTGTTATTACCGATTATTCGTGATTTACAATCCATTACTCACTTCGATCTGAAGAACTCGTTCAGCATCGCCGTCCCAGAGATTCCCGGAGGAAACTCCCCACGTCTCCCCGAGAATCCACGTTTCGCTTAGAATTTGAGAAAGATCTCCCGGAAGAGAGGAGTACATTCATTTGAAAGAGACGTGATAACACACGCGTTGTGTGTGCGCGCGCGTGTCAAGTTCATAAAAACAATTAGGAATGTGATCAGGACGATTGTAGAACGCGACGCGAGAAGCTAATTCTAAAACAAAACCCATATCCCTCCCCCGCGCGCCTGGCAAGTTTATGGGCATACAACCACGCGTCTTACACATTGGCGTGAGCGACACGTTGCGCACGCACACCGGGATGAATTCCTCTCTCCCTCTCTCTCTCTCTCTCTCTCTCTCTCTCTCTCTCTCTCTCTCTCTCTCTCTCTCTCTCTCTCTCTCTCCCTCTCTCTCTTTCTCTTTCTCCTTCTCCTGCCGCTTCATTCTTTCCTCAGCCGCCACCTTGTGCGGCTTGTGTGGTGCGAGGAGCTCCTTGGAGCCGGCAGTTTCGCGTGTTACACCACGGTACGTGGACGAATTCGCGTTATCCTTCGAGCGTCGGCAGTTGTTGCATCGGCCGGATTGCGGTGTGACGTACGCAACCTGTCAAAGTCAGCAAGACCTGTGATAAGCAGTGTGCGGCAAGTGTTGCTGCCACCGTTGCCACCGCTGATGAAGAAGACGACGGGAGGATCTCTCATGGTGACCTGACGATGGACGAGCACGCTGCTGCGGACTACTTGTGAGTCTCTGGCCACGACGAGAACGAGAGTACTCGGGCGGAACGAAAGTGAGTACGGACAACATTCTTTTTTCTTACGAGCACGCTTTGTGCTTGCATTCTGCATGCGTTCGAAGAACGAAAGTAAAACAGAAAAAGAAGCAAATGCTGATATGAGGGAACTTGACAAGTTCTACGCTTTGTCCGATGTTTCCTGTTCGTATGTTCGTTTGTGTCTCCTCCGAGGAAAATTGTGTGTTTTTTTTTAGTCACGAAGATATTAAAATTAAAATTTTAAACAGGAATACACAGTCCAGATGCTTTGGTATTGATGAGTTGAATAAAGTTTGTTTCGCGTAAAATTTCTTTCGCGGAAAATTTCCCATATCAATCCTCATGTTTTCTCAGCTTTATTTTTGCCGCACGATAATCGAAGCGAGAATACTTGCCCGATAAATTCTAGCTAAATTAGAAGAATATTTTGCGTATCTCTTTTTCCGTTTCAATCGACCCGGGGCAGACGCATCGATCGTAATTCATATCGCCCCGTTTGCACTCGGCGTGAGTCACGAGAAAGAAATCACAACCATCTCGCGCTTTTTCATTGAAAGTTCGCCGCACTGATCTCTGCAGATGTTGCCCGCAGATGTGCAGCGATCTTAGAGATGCACTGTGATACGATCCGCAACTTCGTGTAGAGTCATTTTCTAGTAGACGGTCCAATCTGTTTGCGCTTTTTTGTCATTTGTTACAATTTATCATTTTAACGTGCGCTCGCACAGCTCGTTACACAACGTGCACCGTACTAGAAATTGTCCGCACGCAAGTAAAAGTACGACACCATATTTCTCGTTATAATCATATCTCACGCCAATTATATCGTAACGACTGCACCTAACAAGCAGTCGAATTAACCTTCTAGCAACTAACACAACAAAACAAATATTTGTATAGCCATGTGTCCCAGCTTTTTAAGGTGATGCTATAAAAAAAATGGAGAGGAATGTCGTCACAAAGTGACTTAATTTATTCAATGTAAACAATGTTTCATTTAATAACAATGCTTTTACAACGATGTAAGCCACTCGCGATCTGTTGAGAATCTGTTGTCACTGAAATATGGCTTGAAATTGAAACGGTAAAATATGCGTTTCGTGAGTCCCGATAACACATTCGCGAAAGATCAAGAATTTGTTCGGTGAAACCTATCAAATTGGTTGTCGGTTTCGAGCGAAGGTTAACGGTTTAAAGGCTTTGATGAAGATGTCATTGGTCGACCAAGGACGATTTTACGTCGACGCGACGCTGCATTTTAAACGCGACTTCATGTTCACTTAAATTTATCGAAGGACACGTCAGATATCGCTGGTATTAACTATAGCGATATTAACGACTCGGTATTTCGTTTTTGTCGCATTATTTTCTGAGGAATGATAGGCTCCTTTATAAATTTGAAATTGTATCTTCGTTTACTCGAATTTCATTTTCCGAATTGATTACATTCACGTCTTAGATTATAAAAATCGGCCAAAGCAAAAGTCTCTCCACTCGAAGTTAATTGACAAATATTCATTTTCTCCCGACGATAACTTTTTATTCCTGCGGCGAAATTTTTATTTTTCATCCTGATTGAGTCGTGAAAATTAATTTGAGATAATATTTTAATTGCAAGTTATGATACTTATAATATATGCAGTATATCACATACATATTGTAATATATAAAATATTTACCAAAATTAGTATCCACTTTTTTGTGAATTAAATTGCTTTATTAAATATTTTTTGATTTTTAATTTATTAAATATTCTTTGTCTCTACAAAATATCTATATGTACCAATATGCATATGCATCTTCGCGCTTTGTAAATTGTTTATAATTTATGTCTTATGACACTTTTATCATCCCTTTGTTCGTATTCGTTACGCAATAACGCGATTATCGTCGACACTCCGCGCTTATCTTCCGGATTTCGCGGGTTGAGACAGAAATTACGAGCAAAGTGAGAAGTCGTAAAACCCGGCGCGATCGGGCCGGGAATCCGCGCAGATGCTGATTGTAGGAACGCTGAATTATCTTCCGGGAAAGCGACGTCGAAGGCTGAAACAAAAGCAGGAATTCGGTCGAGGCATTGTTGTCGTCGGTGGGTGTACCCGCGTCCCGGTGTTCGTGGGACCCCCGGATTTCTATCAACGCGCCCCTCCTCGCACAGAGAGGAGACTCGAAAAGGAAACGAGAGAAAGCGAGAGCCCTCTTTTTACAAGGCAATCACGGCGATCATAGAAAGCATCGTGTGAAAAAAATATCATCTTAACGCAAAATCGATGTGAAGCCGCGGCGTCCCGCATTCGACGACTTAATATCAACCACTTTCGCGAGCACTCGTACGCGCGTGACACCTCCGATCCGTATAACAGATCGTTCACCATAACGTTGCGCAATAGAACGGAATAAAACGAGGCGAGGTTGAAATTCGTATCCTTTACAAACGGACTTGCAGAGACGGCGCGAAAAGCGACACACGATTGGTTCGGAAAATCAAATCAAACGAAAAACGCGGGAGGGCGGGTATAAGTCAAGTTGCTCCGTTGCTGTCGAAACGAAGACCTCGTAAACATTCGCGAGCGAAATCCTCTTCCGCCTCTATCCTAACAATGTTTCGCAAAAGAAGGGAATAGGGGGAGTTTTTGCCGGAATACCGAGTCTCTCTCTCTCTCTCTCTCTCTCTCTCTCAGATACGGTAAACGTAAATCGTGAACGTTATTCGCTCGCTTAATAATCGGTCGCAATGTACGCGACCGATAGCATTCACGATTTACATTTACCGTATCTGAGAGACGGTATTTTGCAACAGCTCCCCAATTTCAGCAGTCGATACGCACATGTCAGGTACGCGTCAGGTCGCCGAAGCTGAAGTTCGCGTATCGCAACACGCACGTCGGCGCGGCTCGACATCGCGAAAACTGGCACGCGAGTAATTGCAGGCCGAGAGCGTTTGTTTCCCAGAAAGTGCGTATTCAGTGGCGTGAGATCGCAAGAGCGGATAGAAACGGATGCGCTCGCGGGGAAAAAGAGCGAGCGAGAGTTATGCTTCTCCGAACGGTGGAAACTGTAATTGCTCTATCCGCTGTATCTTGATCCTGCCCTCGGCTTTCCGTCGGCTGTCCGGAACTTCGACGTTGTCGCCGTCGGGCACGGTGTCGCTTTTCGTCGTCGTCGAGCCGACAAATGAAAATGTACTCCTCTCTCGCATGGACTTCGTAGAAATTTTTCGTAGCGAAAGTCGAGATAGCCCGAGCGAAAGCACTCGCCGATTCAATCTGATCTCCGATTGGCGCTCGCGCGTCGCATACCGAAATATCGCGCCGTCGAAAGCCGCTGATGCGTGAATAATTTCTACAAGTCGTCCATCACGCGGTATCGAGTTGTCGTAACGCGATCCGATATTATCCGGAAATTCAACTCCGCGTTTACACGTCGACGTTCGACGTTTTCAATCGCGGAAACATCGCTCTGCAGAGGCGAGAGGGGGAAAGAGCGGCAGCAGCTCGTTCCACATTTTGAGCTCGGTCCGGGTTTTCGGATACCAAGTCTCGCGCCAACCGGCTTTTTCGTGCGATTCCTGTCGTTACGCAATTCGCGCACGGCCCGTTAATTAGCGCGAGCGGCGACACGCGCGACCGTAGATTCGCCAAGCGTGAAATGTCAGGGCGAGTTAACGCGAATATTACGTTTGCGCGTAAAACGTCGGGTCAGGTCAAGTAAATGGAGTGATCAAGTGAGCGAGGCGATTCGAAAAAAAGCGGCAAACTCGTTTTTCCTTTTTACACCACGCGCGAAACGCGAACGAACGCGCGCGTTAGAAAGTCTGCGAGGGGCTTAGAGACTTTTCCATTTTCTTTCTTTTTCGTGCACTGATCCCTCCTAGCTTGCTCTTATTGGTTTCTCCTTTTGATTGTACACACTCTCGTTTTTCTCGGTATTTTCAAGCAGGTTCCGGCATGAGGCTGTCCAATAGTCCTGAAAACTCACAGTCCACCTACGTAGCGGACGCGACTTTTACGCACGCCGAGCTCGGAGGAGCGCGCCTACCGAAAATAGATCGCGGCGCTTAAGTTCGCCGTTAAATCGACTCGCGGGTCCTTCCCCCGTGCTTTTTCCACGTCTTCTTTTTTACCGTCCTCCCGTCTTCCGTCGCTCCTCCGCTGCCGGTTTATTATTACACACCGCGTACATTCTCCCTCTTTCTCTCTCCGTCTCTCGCGCTTCGTCCTCCTCCCTCATCCTCGCTCTCTCGTCGTCGTCTCGGGTCCGCGAGCGGAGCTTATTAAGACTCGCTACTGCCGGCGGACAACACCTTGAGAGAGCCCTGAACTTCAGGTACCGGGGATGACCAAGGCTCAAGGTCGATCCGAATCCGAACCGGCTAACCGGTTTCTCTTCCCGACGAGGATTCGGTGAGAAATCAACGTAAGGTCGGTGCCTTCACGCTTCTCGGCCAATTTATCAACCTCGTGTTACTCCTGCCCGAAATCTGTGTGTCATCTCTTGCGCCTTGATTTCTGATTTGTACTCGATTTAGCGAAAGTTTAGTTTCATTCGTTTGTCATCCTACTCCTTTGATTATCCTGAAAAACAAACATTGAAATGTTGAAAAGTGAAAGAGCTCGGCTGGGGTGCTTTGTTGGGAAGAAGTCATAATTTCGGTAAATTCAGGATTGAAATATTGCTGAGCGGACTTTGGAAGAACGCGAGTGATCGGAGATTAATTCCAGAGCGCTGTTGTATTAAATAAATGTCCTCGTGTTACCGTTCCAAAGAGTGCACGCCGGTCTTTTACAAGCGCTTCGTCTTTCCTTTTATCTCGCACCGCCGTTTATATCGTGTTCAGGCTCCGTATCGAAGTTACACGCTTCGTGTTTAAAAACTCACATTCAACAATCGGGTAGATATTTAAAAGATGAGCTCCCGCGGACTTCGTGACCGTGGCTGGCACCCATTGCAACTAATTGCAAGCCAGGTTGAATCCTCGCGGCGTGAAAATCCTAACAGTACCTTTCGTCGACGAGGCGAATAGGAACACAGACAGGAAATGTTTCGTGGCGCACATCGTGCGCCTGCCTTCCTTTCATTATCATAAGATGAAAGCGCTTTTACTATGCGGGCTTCGTGCGGCCACGTAACATGGCCGGAAATCGCTCATCGTAACGACCCGATCGAAAAGGCGCCACGTGAGCGAACTGGCTGTCGCATTTTATTTCCAGCATGCACAACGATAATCCTCGCAAACACGCTCGTCATATTTATGGTGCACCGTGTCGTGCCGGGGGGTTATTTCGGGATGAAGATGAAGATGGATCCTGTGTGACAATAGAAGAGTTGCGAAAAGAGCGTTGTTTATCTTGAACTTTATTTTATTTACGGGTTATCTACTTATTATAGATACTCATTTTATTTGCGGCTTATTATTATTACTCATTATTAATCATTGATTTAGTCGACGGAGGAAAATAATATCAAAATATTATATAGGCGTGCGATACTATTAATATTATATATTTCTTTTTTCTTGACGCTTTTGCACTTTCTCACATACGCTTTGTATTTTGTAATATTTGTTACAATACGCGCGTTGTTATCTTTTATCCAAGCGTCTCAAGTTGAAAGATACTCACCCGCGCTCTTTCCTCCCCATTTGCCGTTCAACTTGTGAATGTAAAATTTGCGACAAACGGTGGTCTCGCGCGAACGTCGACGGACAACGCGGTGAAAACTCGTCCTTCCTCTCGCCGGACGACGCGAGAGAGCCGACAAAAGGCCAACCGGTTTCCGGAAATGGGTTGCTTCGTCCTCACGTAAGACGAATGTATCGTCAAGTTATAGACGGAGGAGACGAAGAAGTTAAGAAGGTTACCCAATTACCTAGATAACACGATAATTACAGCGCGGCGTTAGATTTCTCAATTTTGCGGATTAAATTTGGTGACCGATAGCAGGCAATTATCTCATAAATAATTATACATGCACACTTCTCCGCAATCTGTACTGGACTCCCCCCTTTTTGTTCGATAACATCATTCGTGCTCGATGCGATCATTCGATCAGCCGCGTCTCCTTCGCCGCATCGCCGCTCGTCCGTTGCATCCTTCGTGCATATTTTCGGAGTAAACGTCACATACGGCACGTCCTCTTCGTTGAAACGGGCTCGCGATATTTTTTTTTATTGCGTCGAGGATTGCCGAAGGCCCCTTTTTCCCCTTGACTCATCGCGAGATGACGCATTGCGTCAGCGTAGAGACGCGTCCCCGATTTCACGGTGCGGAAAAATGCAACGACGGCTACGACTTTCCGTTTCACGCGAACGTGCACGCGCGACCGCGGTAACGCACGATCGATTCCCGTCACGTTAACTAAATAATATAAAGGACACGCTAACGTGCTAATCGCGAGTCCCGATAAGTCACAAAGTACGATTAACGAAGAAAGACAGAGGGGAAAAGATGTTGTTGGGAAAAGATGTTGGTGAGAAAAGATGCTTTTCACAGGTAACGATCTAGTGCGAATTAGTGATATATCTGCAAATGTGCAGACAAAATGTTTCTCACGGTGCGTTAAGAAAATATTATTTACACTTCCCAGGACATGTTTTTTTACATTTTCCCGTGTTCACTTTATTGTTCACTTTACTGCGAGACGAAAAATTAAAGAGCAGGCACAAGGTCCGTTAGCCGTGTATCTCCGCAACATTTTTTGACAGCCGGCGATGGCGCGACAATGGCCTCCTTTGTGCTGCGCGATTAATAATTCCGCCTGCCATGCCGTGATGTAGACGAGCGCCAGAATGAGCAACACGAGGCTCGCCTTGGTGTGGCGATTGTTTCTTGCCGATATATCGCGACCCGCATTCACGATATGTATCCACCTACCTACTCAGCATTCGCGAGGCTGCAAATTGCTCATCGAACGGGGTTCATGACCGAGTCAATGAGTCAGATCGATTTTTTACGCTTCCAGGAAAGAACGACCGGTTCGCGCGAGGCAAAGAGATAAACGCCGCGTTTAATTATTTATTGATCCCGCAGCCCCGCGATTAATAATGTTAATAACTCAGCGCGCTCGCGCGCCACGAGGCTCGCCCCGCGCGAGTTTTTATCCTCCCTTTGCTCTCTCCTTCTCTTAAAGGTAAAAATACCGCCTCGTTATTACGACCGTCTTAATTATCGCGAGAACGATTACTTCCAATTCTTTTTATTTGTTCGGCTCGTTCGACCGTTCGAGCAATTACGCGATGATGCTGCGGTAGAGAATTTACGGCCAGACGCGCCCGATCGGCAATGTGTTACGTACTATCATTGTTTTTAATTTAGATGATTAGATTAAGTAAGATTAATTAAAAAAACGGAAGAAGAATGCGAACGATATGATTAGATTAGATTAAAATAGGTAATTAATTACACTCGCGGCGTACAAGTACTTGGAATATAACTGAATTGTGTTTTTGTACTATATAACAGTCGGTTCGATTCTCACTTACTAATAATAAAATTGAGTACATTTATAAGTTTCAAATAAGGCCGATGTGTATCGCGATTGGACTCTCGATTCGCGCTTTAAAAAAGACCGCGTTAATCCGCATGGTTGATTAATGTAGCGATTGATGCAACAATGCGGTATATATTCTACCGTGATAATACAATAGTGCGCGATCGGTCGGATGAATACCGCGAATGTGTTTTATTAGGTTTCGCAAGACTTATTACGTGCTTTGAAAGAATGAATTCAGATTAGATTAGATTAGATTAGATACGGTTCCACCATCGTTTGTCTCTCTCTTTTATCATCACGACTAGTCTTGCATCCGATTATCAGATGCGTTTCGGCAACTTACCAATTGTGACGTCACTTTGCACAGTCCCACTAGTGAAATTTTTGGAAAAAATGCCAGGAAGAAATCCCTAAGGGAGTAAAATCAAAATCGTCGTCTTCATGGCAGTCGAAATCTGACTTCTCAATGTATTTGCCCGTTTCAGCGGAATTTATTACGTTCCGTCATTAAGATTCTATCGTACAAATCGACCGAGTCAACGTAATTTCTCTGGTACGAATCGCGCACACCGTAAACCGTGTTTACGACTCCGTTTCGCGCTAACGAATTTTCACGACGGTTTCCCTCTCATCGGGCAGCGTGCACTTGTCATTAGGCGCCGCGGTTCGTTCCGCTATCAGTCGTGGATAACGGACTAGAGGGAGAGGGGGATAAACGTCGCGAATGGACGAAGGATGGATGAAAGGTGGTGGTCACCGCCGAATCGCTCGTGAGTAGCGGTCGTAGGTAGTTCCATCCTTGCGCGGTGCCTTGTCGACTTTTCGACATCGAGAAGACGCGCGACTTTTCCACTGCTGTATACATAACGCGCGAAAGCATCTCTTAAACGGAAAGAACCCAAGAGGGATCTCCTGATCGTTGTGCGTCCGCGTTTATCTGCTAAGTATCGCCGGACACGACCCTGGACAGGTCTTCTCTCTGGAGGATTACCGATTCTCGTCAAGTGGAGGAAAATAAGTGACGTGTATCGTTGTCGTTGTAAATTCGCGGGATTGGTGTTAAGCGACGAGAATTGACGGTGAAGAGTGCGCGTCTCCTGCGGAATTGGATTAAAAAATTAAGAAAAATTTAGAATCCTCCTTCCTTGAGCCACGTCGTGACGTCGAGATGTAATTGAGTTGCAGGAAATACAATCGTCATAAATCCTAAATTCGTATTTAAAAAAAAAAAAGATTATACGTTATAATAAAAAAAAAACTCTCCATTTATTTAACACATTTATACGATAGACATGTAGGCTCTCGGATGTCCCATCCCACATAATTTACATTTGTTTATAACATCTTTTTTAAAATATGCATTTAGGACAGCGTGAAAATGAGCTGTTTAATTGTAATTGAAGTATCGTAAAGAAAATTACTCAATAGTTCATTGTCAACGTAGTAGCATCACGAGAACTTAAAGAAAGTTTACTTGTGTGTCGAGTGTTGCGTTATCTGTTGATTATTTTTCAGAAAATCACAGTGCATTCGTGCAAATGCTATATTTCTCGATTGTTGCGTTATCATTCATTATCTCTTGGAAAATTGCTATCGAAGGTATATGCGAATTCTTCGAAAAAAAAAAAAAGAAAAAACACGATATTCAACAAATACTGATACGATACACAAAGTCTCTTAACGATAACAAGAAAACTTTGCTGAAAATCTAACTTTGCTATTTCCTATTCAAATCCGCCGGAATTAATCGCGGAGATATTGATTTTCGCGTTTCCGTTTGCTGAAAATATCATGAATTCTCGTTTATCTTATCTAAGGTGCGCGGCTTTAGGTCGATACCTTGCGCGACTGAAAACCAGGTAGCGAGGACTGCCCAGAATCAAGTCCGCGTTTGCGATTTGCAAGATGCAAAGTTCGCCGAATTAAATATTTATGTTTTGTCTTGGGTGTCGCAGGCGCAAGCTACAAGACCACGAAGACATGGGGTGAGTGTGTAAAGAAAAATCTTTAATAAATTATTAATTAGACCGATAAACATTCACGATATCGATTTTGACGAATTTAAAGCCATATGGTATTCTTATTCTCGATCGGCGTATGAAAATATTTGCCGGTCGATCTATCTCCGTTTGCTCTGCTATACACGAGCGTGGAACATTACGAACCATTTCAATATCTAATCAATGTCTTTATCGTCTGCTCGAGGCCATGAGACGGCGACAAAGCGTATGCCTTACCTGTTAAACTTTTAGCGCAACTGCAAAGCACTCGAAACAATATAAAAAATTGGAGATTCCAACGTTGTCCAATTTTGGAAGTTTGTTGGTCCTGATTTTTTAACGACAGATATGGAAATAGGATGTATATACTATATATTAAATAAATGTTTGAAATATAATTTAAACAACGTTATATTAATCCCATTACTGTCATTAAAAATGTCCTATTTCTTGAGCGTAATTTCGGTAACAAATAAATCTTTAAAATAAATTTTCTTCCTACATGATGTCAAACATTAGTCGTTAATATCTTTATAAATGTTAAGATAGCCGAAATAGTGCGTAAAATATTTCGTCATGCAATAAAAGCCGTCTGGAAGAAAAAGAGAAGTATTTCTGAAATTCCGATTTTTTTAAATGAACAGAGTCGTGCAATGTGTAATGACATGTAAACACATCACGTAATGTGAAAATATCGATTACGATGGAATAGAGTCGGATAATTGACGATTTTTGCAGCGTGGAGACGGCTGACACCGGAGGTGGCTTTAGGCCGGAAATTCAGGGTCGCAACAGGAAATTGGAGCTTGAAAATATGGAGCGAGGACTTCACGAACGTGATCGAGTCGGAGTTCAGGACTTCGTTCTTCTGGAGGATTTCCAAAGCGAGTTAGCTTTCATCGACAACTTGCGCAAACGTTTCAACGAGGATCTCATTTATGTGAGTAGAAAGAAAGAGAGAGAAAGAGAGAGAGAGAGAGAGAGTAATAGTATGCACAACTTTTTGTAGAACGGATTATATTATTAATAAGCGATATAATTACAGACGTACATTGGCCAGGTATTAGTGTCGGTAAATCCATACAAGAAACTACCCATCTATACCCCGGAAACAATTCAGTACTATCACAGGAGAAACTTTTTTGAGGCGCCTCCTCATATGTGAATATCTTCTCATATATTCTGCTTTACATTCTGCGACGATTTTCTCAAATTGATGAGGTTCTGCATTCTAGATAACAATTTCTCGAATCGTCACTGATTATAATTCAATCTTGCAAAGCTTAGTTTTATCATGTAACTTTTTTACTTTTCTAGTCTTCATCGTATAAATAGTCTTGTCGTATATTTACAATAGAATATAGGTTTATTGTCCTATTTACAGCTTCGCTCTTGCGGACACCGCCTATCAATCCCTGGCAAAGGAGAATCGCGACCAATGTATCTTGATTTCAGGTAAAGGATCACACTTTTTTTCTTTTCTCTTTATTTTAAAATTAAATTTTAAGTTCGTTACGTTTAATCTGGAGATATCTGGTATTATTAATTAATTTTTTCTTTATTCTTGTCTTAGGCGAATCCGGATCTGGAAAAACAGAGGCATCTAAAAAGGTTCTGGAATTTATTGCGGCAGCTACTGGACACAAGAAGCAAGTTGAACAAGTGAATGAAAAACTAATAGGCAGCAATCCAGTGTTAGAAGCGTTTGGTAACGCGAAGACTAATCGCAATGACAATTCCTCCCGTTTTGGCAAATATATGGACGTTCAATTCAATTTCCAGGTGAGATTTTTATTTTAAGTAATGACTAAATAATAAAAAAGGAGGCGACGAAAGTAACGAAAATCGATCAACAAGAACTGATCTCGCGAGATTGAAAGTTGAATTCGTTTATTATTCTCCTAGGTAATTAAGTAAGAGTAAAGTAAAAGTAAAGTAAAAGACAGTTGCGAAAATTCCTTCTCATTCCTATTAAATCATCTTTCCATCGATTTCTATCTATCCGTCTGATTTTTTGGGAGAATTTATCGATTTATTATACGTAATATATTTATGTTACGTAACGCCATTAAATAACGTAAGATACTTTCAGGGAGATCCAGTCGGTGGAAATATCTTGAATTATCTGTTGGAGAAGTCCCGAGTTGTTCATCAATCAAATGGCGAGCGCAATTTTCATATCTTCTATCAGCTTTTAGCAGGCGCAGACGACGACACGTTGAAAAGATTATTCCTAAAACGAAATCTGGACACTTTCTTCTACCTGAGCAGCGGGGTAAGCGCGTTCGATTTTATTTGCCCGATGATTAATGGAAATTTCTCTTCTTTCTAATATTATTAATTATACACATTCTTTATTTTTATATATTTCACAAATTAGTCACTTCGTCAAATCTCTTCTTGTTTCTTTCATCTCGATTTTCTTTTCTCATATATCTCTTTGTGAATCGATCTTAGACGAAAGGTACAGTGGATACCATTGACGATGCTAATCAGTACAAAGAGGTTATTAAGGCTATGAAGACTATGGAGATGTCCCAGCAGGAACAGAATGATCTGTTTGCCATAGTCTCGTCGGTACTGCATATGGGCAACGTGGGCTTCACGGAGGAGGAGGGTGTAGCGACAATCCTAAAACCCGCGTCCGTCGACGCCATTGCTACGGTAATTATGCTCAGGCGATTTGCACCAGATTAGGAATGAGCTGCTAATTCCCATTAAATTATTTATCATTGTATTTATTTACCATTATTGACATAAAATCAATCGTAGACATTACCATTTTATTAAAAGATTTCAATTTTTTCAACAAAATTATTATATAGTGTCGTAGTGTTCTATCTCAGTTAGTCTAGTTAAAAAAGCGGTTTGCATCTCTCGATGCAAATAATTATGCAAGCAACTAATACATAGTTCGATGAAACAGTTATTAGGATGCGACGTAAAGCGACTGGCAAAGGCATTCACTCATCGTACCATAAATGCTCAGGGTGACGTTGTGGTTTCACCCTTGAATAGAGAATTAGCTATCTATGCACGAGACGCTCTAGCTAAGGCCGTGTACGACAGATTATTCACCTGGCTCGTGACCAGACTCAACAAGTCATTGCAGCCTCTTACCAATCCCCGACATAAAATGGTTATGGGCATTTTGGATATTTACGGCTTTGAGATTTTCCAAAAAAACAGGTAACTGTTTTTAATTTCACTTATATATTGATGTATAATAATTTAAATTTTTATATTTTCTGTTATATACTTTTTTAAACTTTACACACACGCATATATGCATATGGTTTTTAAAATCTATATTTTATATTTTGAATTTTACACTTCATATATCTTATATATTATATCTTTTAATTTATGGTTTATATTTTACATTTTAGATATATTTTTATCTTCAATAATTAAATCTTATTCTTGAAAGGGGAATTATTTAACAAATATTAATTTATAAAAATCTACAGTATTTTTGATAATTTTTACGCTGACGTTTCCAATTATTTGTTGTTACTAGATTAATTGTTGTTGATTGACTTAAAAACTCTGTTGTTTTGTTACAGCTTCGAGCAATTCTGCATCAATTTCTGCAACGAAAAACTTCAACAGCTGTTTATTCAATTGACGCTAAAATCGGAGCAAGAGGAATATCTACGCGAAGGTATAGCTTGGGAGAATATACAGTATTTCAACAATAAAGTTATCTGTGACTTAATTGAGGAGAAATACAAAGGTAAAATTTCATAAAGACCTTTTTATAAAGTTAGTATGTATGTGATTCTCTGCCCGCATGTTTACAAGATGTCATTAACCGATTTGTTGATGAACAGGAATAATATCATTGATGGACGAGGAATGTCTACGGCCTGGAGAACCGACAGACTTGAGCTTTTTGGAAAAATTGAATGTAAATTTGAACAATCATCCTCACTACATCAGTCATCAGAAGGCAGACATACAAACGCAGAAGATCATGGGCCGAGATGTAAGTCTTTTATATTAATTACTTATACGAATTTATTTGTTCCTTATTGTGTGAAATTCATTCACTCATTATTAATGTTTCAGGAATTTAGATTAATACATTACGCCGGTGACGTGACGTATAATGTTCGTGGATTTCTTGAAAAGAATAACGATTTACTATTTCGGGATCTGCGCGAAGTTATGTCACATACGACGAATTCTATCACAAAGGTAGAATAAATTTTATTATTGTATCATTTTGAAAAACAACGAGGAAAGAAACAAAGGGGAATTCTAATTCGTACAGTTTCTGATATTTCCTTTTATTTTGAGTATTCTTCATATTTTTTACTTCCGCATAATTCTTGCTGCATTTATTTATTATAGGCTGTGTTTGACGTGAAAGATTTAATCAGTAAGAAACGCCCAGAGACTGCAGTGACTCAATTCAAGAATAGCTTGAATAATTTGGTCGAGATTCTCATGGGCAAAGAACCGTCTTACATTCGTTGCATCAAACCTAATGATTTTAAGATGCCAAGTAAGTAAAGACTAATTAAAAACAAGCTTGAAGAAAAATTAGTTAATGTAAAAATACTCACATTTCATAGAGAAATATAGATTAGAAATAACTCAACGTATAATAACATAAGTGAATTAAAGCATTACAAAGTAATCATTTAATTATTTCCATATTAAATTATTTTTCATTGCTATTTTCGAAGAAACTAACGAAATAAAGTGTTAATATGATAATCAAATGCCAAGAAAAAATTCATAGATTCTATGCTTGCAGATCAATTCAACGAGAAAATCGTTCTACATCAAGTAAAGTACTTAGGCTTGATGGAGAATCTGCGGGTTAGGCGCGCTGGTTTCGCGTATAGAAGACCGTACGAACAATTCCTGCAACGTTATAAGTGCCTCTCCGTGGATACATGGCCGAATTATCATGGTTCAGCAAAGGAAGGCGTACAGGTGCTCGTATGTCATCTGGGATACAAACAGGACGAGTATAGAATGGGCAAGTAAGTTCGCGAATTTCATATTGAATATATTGCACATATTTTCACGAATTCTATAAAATATACTCAATAAAATATTAGTAATATGTTTCATTCCTTATATATACTATCGTTAATTATTCTTTTTAATTACAGTACAAAATTGTTTATCCGATTTCCCAAAACGTTGTTCGACACAGAAGATGCATTTCAAATGAAGAAACACGAAATAGCTGCTATCATTCAAAGCAAATGGAAGTGTATATTAGCAAGAAGAAGGTACTTGAAAATGCGGGCTGCGGCGATAGTCTTCCAGAAGTACATTCGCAGATGGCATGCAAAACGCATAGCGAAAAAACGGCGAAATGCAGTTAATACTATTCGCAGGTATTATATTTTCGTTTTATTCAATTTACTTTTTATATTTTAAATTACATTTTATATTTATATCTTAGATTTATATAAATGTAGATAATTTACATTCATAATAAACTAGATATATAAATTTTATAATTGTATATTTTATAAAAATATAGATATATTTAAAATCCTATTATATTTTAGATATCTTATGCTAATTCGATTTTGTGCAGATTTATCGAAGGATTCATCACTCGAAATGGGCCTCCCACTAAAGTCAACATGGCTTTCATCGAATTGGCAAAATCGCAATGGCTTATCAGGCTCTCTAAAACATTGCCACCGGGTGTCTTGAACAATTATTGGCCACCATGTCCATATTCTTGCCGAGAGGTATGAATAACCTAGACCTATTTACAATTTCAACGTCAAAAGTTCATTACTTGCAAATATATATACTTGTAATTATATATATTATTACATATAGTCCATTATTGTGCAATTATAAAATTAAGTTATATAAAATTTATATATTGTTAAATTTATACTAAGTGCACGTATAATCGTAGGCATCAGAGCATCTACGCGTAATGTATAAGAGATGGAAGAGCCGTTGTTACCGATTAGCATTAAGTAAGGAAGATAAGGAGCATTTCGAATTGAAGATCCTCGCAGAATCAGTGTTTAAAGGAAAGAAGAAATCTTACGCGAAGAGCTTAGGCCCAAGATTTATAACCGATCGTCTCGGCGAGGAACACAAAGCTCTACGACAGAGTCTTAATAATATTCTGCCTTCCGGGGAAAGCATAAAGGTAAAAATAATTTTATATCAAAAGAAAATTATATTGAATTTTTCATTTATCTCTTTTAATTTATTTATTTTTAATTATGTCTGTGTTTAAGGGCTCATTAATGTTTTAAACATATTGTGGATAATATTTTCAGTACGCTACTCCTGTTATCAAGTATGATCGACATGGTTACAAGCCACGCGAGAGAGTACTTATTCTAACGCAAAATGCCGTGTACATCCTCGATACGCTTAAGACGTTCAAACTTAAGCATCGCTTACCTTACAAAGCCATCGAGGAGTTGGTTGTCACCGGTGAATCCGATAATTTACTCATCGTCAGGATACCACCTGAATTAAAAAAGGATAAGGTATGTCTTTGGTATTTTAATAAATTATGAGAGAAAGAGAGAGAGAGGGAGAAAGAGAGAATAGTTACACAAAATAAAATAAGTAAATTATAAAATTTTGGTACATTTTCCTAAAATTATAACTGAAGGAATTTGCATTTTTTAATTTTTAAACTTTATCACTGTTAGACTCGATAAATCATAATTATTTTGTATATTATCGGAAATATAATTTAGAATTATTATGAGTAATATAAGTTCTGCTTGTGTGTGCAGGGTGATCTAATCTTGGAAGTTCCGCACATTATAGAAGCTCTGACAAAAGCAATTGATATCACTAGCAATCCAAATATTCTTAAAATCGTCAATAACGAATCGTAAGTACATGCTGTTGCAATATATAATATCTATAATTAATATTTTCAATAGTTTTTACAAATGTCCAAACAAAATGTTCATGGTATACGTCGTACGCGTAATATTGAAAATGTTAAACTATCGTTCTACTGTGTTATTATTATTATACTTATATTAAAAAAAATATTTAGTGTATCTCACAAGCTAGTCAGTGGTAAAGAGGGGGTTATCGAATTCAAAACTGGTACCACCCCGGCGATCAGTAAGAATCGACAAAGCGGACACTTATTAGTGGTAAATATTTAATATTTAATATGTTAATATTTAAAACTACTTTTAATTCTTTTGAAGTATCATTCTTCTTTATTTTCTATGATAAAATGCACAATTGCAATAAAATTTTCAAATTTTGAAGACGAATATGTTTCAATGATATTGAAAGTATAACAAACTAATTAATGCAATATCTTCACTATATGTATGTTCTCTTTCTTTTTACTAAATTATAGGTTGTTTCTCCATAATACCATAGAAGATCTCTCGGAACAAAAAGCTCTACAAAATGAGCAAATGAAGCAAGTGCTATGACGCCTAGAGCAGCCTTAATCTAATGTGATTTAGTACAGAATCGACAGAGTTTAAGAAGAGATAATATATGAAACTTTAACACATCTGTTGAATTACCACATCAGATTGATACTTATTGCATAATAGTGATTGTATAATTAATTTAATTCATGAAACAGGTCTGATCGTTTTAGTTTTGACTCTTTCTTTCTCTGTTTCTCTCTTTCTCCTCTCCCTCTTCTTCTCTCTCTCTCTCTCTCTCTCTCTCTCTCTTTCTCTCTCTTTCCCTGCATTTATGAACTCTAATTTTATTTTGAAAGGAGAGAAAGAAGAAAAAAGAGAAGAAAACAAAAAAGAAAAAGAGAGCCAGAGCAAATAAAGAAAAATAGACTGAAACGAGCAGACCTAGTGCTCGTAAATTGATCAAATGTGCCTTGAACTCTCTACTGCCTAAGATATTTGTTAAAAGTTTAGAGGATCTTCACCTTTGCCTCTTGTAATTTTTTTTTAATGTTTTAGTAATCAATTACTTTTTAATATTTACAGTTAAAAAACTGATTCAATTCATATGTATAAAAAAAAAATAAATCTATAGTGTAATTAGGGGCAATAGAGGGTTGAAAGATTTTGTATTATCTTTACAGTGTGTAAGATTATATCGAAGTTGTTTTAGAAAGAAACAAAAGTGCCATACGGCCGCTTGTACAATATTTTTCGTGTAAAACACCGATAGGCTGTAAATTAGATGACAATTGATATTTATTTTAATAGAGGAAAATAGTTGAGTTTGTTGATAAATGGAATACATCATTCAAATACGACCCAAGTTTTAGACAGCACGAGCGCAATAAATGCAAAAGTAGTTACCTCCCTTTTTCCCAAATAATAAATTGATATACCATATACATAAATAATATATATTGAAAATATTAATATTGAAAATACAATAATATTATTGAAAAAGTATCGATATTAAATTCTATACAAAAAATTATAAAACATATGATATTGTAACTATAATTTTTCAGATTTATTCCATAATAACATTTAACAACATAATTGTTCTATTACTGTTAGTATGTATTAGAACAACAGATAAGATGTACAAAACAGTAATTTTTATTCTCTTTCCTTTCTATTCATCATTACATCATAAGAATAACTTTACCATTAGTTTACAATTAGTTTACCATTATTCTTTTTTGAAACTTTATAAGTGATATATAACATTCTATTTTCAAAATTATGTATAGGGCATATATTTATAAATATCCTTAAATAATATATTAGAAATGTTATGTCCATAATCTTATCTATTAAAACAATAACTTCTTTTATAATTAATTAACATTTATTTCTTTTCTACATTAGGATTTTTTTTTATGAGAGATTTTTTTCCATCTAAAGCCCTTTTTCGTAATTCATCTTCCATAGTACTATTCACTGTTTTTGTAATCATTTTCTTTAGTTTGTGTGCTTCCTGCAGTTTTGCCTTTTTGGGTTGCACAGGTGCATCTGTAAATCAGAATGAATATACGTTGTTAATTTTACGTTGTTAATTTTATTATCTTTACAATATATTGAATTTAATTCTGATAGTTTATTATTTACTTACTTCCACGTCTTTGAATAGCAGGGCCCTTCTTGCCTTTGTTTACTTTTGCTTTTACCTTATCTGGCAATTTTGTTTTAACTTTGAGTTTTCCTTGTGCCATTTCTTATATCTTATTGCTATGTTCTATATAAAATTTTATATCTTCACTCAACAAATAATTCTGCTTTACTGCAAGGAAAATAATTATAAATACAAAGTCGATATATGCTAATCACTAATAATTATAACGACTATATTGATTTTAACTAGATGAATAAAAGTATAAACTATGTTACAATTATATAAATACTTTCACGATATGACAATTATTTAAGAAGTATCAAGTAATTATAATTATAATTATAATTTAATATTAGAATACAATAACCATACTTTGTTACACTACGATTTATGATATTTATATATTATAGCTCAAGTTTGCATATATTTCGATTGTACGTTTATAGATTTAAAGGTTATAACATTTATCACTATTTATCAAATATTGCATGCTATCATGTGTGTGTCGTAAACTTTTATTTAGTTGTCAGTTACTATAAAATCATCTGTTTCACTATCTATCTGGAAAAGAATATTTTTTCTTGTTAACATTAGGTTATAAAAAATTAGCATGTACTCACACGATATCTGAAGTAGTTACAGAACAAAAGTCACGTTGAATAGAATCGATCGTAGTTATACTCGCTGTTGCTACTATACTGTTATACCCGCAGACTGGCAGAACAATGTTTAAGTGTTCTTAGTTACAGAAAAAGTAGTGATCGTAGTCAAAAGTGAAATGAACATTAATTCGAGTATAACAATTGGTACATATAAGGAGAAAAAACGATCGTTATATTTAATTAATCAAAATATAATTATTGCATAAATTTTATAAACATTTCTATATATATAATTTGATATTTACTCCCTTGGAATTAAACCGTGCAATCACATGAACTTAACCTAACCTAACCTAACCTAACAAAACTTACGTTATTTGGACTTTGTTCTATAATATCTAAGTTCAATTTTACGTCGCTGTTATTGCATGTTTGCTTATCATTGTATGTATTACCGTCTGTTGAATCAATCGTGAGTAGAAGATTCTGGAAAAATCGTGAAAAATGGCACTTTCCAAACCAACTGATTTCATGTACAAACTTGTTGGCGCATATTTAGAACGACTTTACACTAATCCTTTGAGAACGAAAGCAATAACGAGGTAACATCAATGTGATACATTTTATATACGCATACGCTTACAAGTTATCGAGTTGAATTTAGTATAAATCATATATTGTTTCTAGTTGTATCCTTTCTTCCCTTGCAAATATATTATCTCAGAAATTGAGTGGGGCAAAGCGGATTAATAAAGATAATATTATTGCTTTTGCTCTATTTGGGTAAATAAGTATAAACCATTATTTCTGCTAATAATATAGACTTAAAGAACTTAGATGTATTTTAATATCCAAATATTGTTGCAGCTTGCTCATCGGTGGCCCAGTACCACATTACTTTTACATGTACATAAACTTATTTGTGAAAAATCCATTAGGGATTTTTTTAATAGAGAGGCTCATTTATATGCCATGTTTCCAGGCATTGACACTCTATACATTAGCTCTCTTTGAGGTAAGTAAGCTGTTTTTACTATTTGATTGTAAAGCATATAACAGATTCTTTTTATTTACATAAATATTTATTAGAATTATTACATGGTAATTATGATGGTGGACAATTTAATAGATTGATAAATTTTGTTTAAACTGTAGCCTATTCTGTTTGAATTTTTATTTTCAAGCAGTACAATATATTTATATTTTATATTTTAGTACTTTATAGAAATTTATTTGCAGGGTAAATCACATAAAGAAGCATGCAAACAAACAGAAAAACTATATTTGCCAATGGTGATAAGTAATCTGAGATATCTAACACTGTGGCAGTTCCTCAACATAAAATATGTCCCACCAATGGTATTATGATAAATTTATATTTTCAATATTCTCTGAAGCAATTAATATCTAACATTAATATCTAAACATTAATTAAATTAATATCTAAAATCGCTATAGTTTTGTAGATAATTTTAGATTACTTTTAGATTATAACTCAGGTTAGCAATATTTTTCTTTTTAGATTGAAAATTATTTTTTAATATTATGCACCATAGAAATTTCACTTCTAATATCCTACTTAAATTTTTTAGCTAAGAGTCTTGGTGGTAAACTGCATTGCTTTCACATGGGTCATTTATTTTGCAAATAAGAGAACCAACATTCCAAAGAAGAAAGCTTAAGAAAATATAATATTTTATGTGATTTATTACTGTTATTATAGATATTTTGTACATCTTTATGACGATATAGAAGCACGACACTTTTATATGTTAAATATGGCAATTTTATGTTACTTCAAAAAAAGGAAATCCTGGAGAAAAGATTATTATATGTAAATTTTATTTATATATGACCATATATAATTATACATGGCCATACATTATTATACATGTCCAAACAAAAAAATGATTTTGTACAAATACAACTGAATATATCATTTTCTTTTCACATTGACATGTATAATTATATATGGTTATATTACTATATAAGGATGAAATTCATGTGAGTCACATATATATAATTATATATAATATATAATCACTTTTCTCTCCGGGATATTCTGTACAAATATTTTGGGAGTACTCATTCTATTTGTATGAAACCAAAAAAAAACGATACATTCCATTGTTGTGATTTGTTAAAGTATTTTGTAGAAAATGTTAAAATGTGAAATATGTATGTACGGGTTTATAATATGTCAGAGTTATATATATCTGTAATAAATATATATATATATATATATAAATATTGGGAACAAGAATATATAAAAAACTTACGTGATAATTGTATTTTGGTGATTATGCAGTTCTATTCGTCTATATCTTAATATGGAATGAATGATTTCAAAAGACAAGGCATTTTTGAAATTTTCGATTTAATCACACAACAACAATACAGAGTATATTACAGATATAATCCGAATTTCTTTTTTCGCTTTAACGAGACAGTAACATTTGTACGACTGTAACTCATAAGTGAATACAGATATCAGGTTTGAAAGTCACAATGTATTCTCTTAAAACGACGAGATCAGAGAAAGGATAGGAAATTGCCAAAGAGACATTTAAATTCCGTGATTCTCGTTGTATATTTTGGGGCCAGGAAACTATAAAATATATCCGAACAGAGAACCGTCTTAATACTGAGCTGAAAAGACGCTGAGATGTACTTAATACATAACTATTCAATAGAGTATAATAATTAATGATCGGGAGATCCTGCATTAAAAAGGGAATCAGTCGTTGAGAAGACTAGATCACTACATAGTTTCCTTGTCTAGTCTGTCGTAAACAATGTAGACTTTCCAAGTTTTACGGTTCGCCTCTTTATAACCCTATACATATATCTTCGAGATATCTTAACTTTGCGCAACTGCGCCATTAGACTAGTTTTTAATTGTATTTTTTTTCTTTGGTACGCTGCCTGGCCTTGCCGTCTGCCTCGGGCCCGCAAGAAAAAACCCTCCCGTTGACTAGAGTATTCTTTTCTTCGGAATGCGAATATCGAAATGCATGAAAGAATCGCGATATCACGTACGTTAAAATTAAAGCCGTCTTACAAAATAAATAAATATAAATAAATCTACAAATATAAGTAAATCATTATAAGACATAAATAATTATAACTACGTAATAAATACTACGGGCTACACATCAACCCTTTGCGTTCTACCTTTTAATAACTCGTTTTTAGATACGTGTTTTTATAACTTTCATAAATCAGCATAAAACTTGCGAATATAAGAAAGATATTGACAAATAAAAAAAATATGTTATATAATAGAAACTTTATATATAAGAACTAATAATGAGAACTTTATATATGAGAATAAATTTTCTATAGCTTGGCACTCTACGCAAAGGGTCAGAAAATCAATATTTTACGTCAGAAATTCAAAATTCTCTGAGGGAATATGTCTATGTACAACACAGAATGAATTATAATACATTGCACTATAAACTTATGGAATTCAATCCGTGAGATTCGTTGACAAATTCAAGGAATGTCACTTTGCTATAAATAACGAGGGACGTGACTGAGACTAGTATGCTTCTTTCCACGATAAATAATCGAGAACCTGAATAGAAAAGAGAGTGTATGTAACAATTAAATCAACCTTCTTGTGATTCAACGAAATTACAACCCAATACTTTTCCAGAAGTTTTGCATATATGAGAAAATGTCCTAAAATACATATTGAAAGTAATAGATTGTACTTTAGCCTTAAAAAAACTACTTCGTACCATATTGTATTTTTATACTGATATGTTTAAACTTTTACCATCTTTGATCTATTTGATCTGGAAATCTTGATCTCAGTCACTAAAAGGTTGAGAATGTCACGATTCTGACCGATCTCACACTACGTTAATTTATTACTATATTTTATATTCTGAAACATATTTTCTCCTTGCTATCCTATGGTAAGAAAAAAAGGTAAAAGAAAATGGGAATCAAGATATTGAATTTTTTCTCTTTCATCTGTCAATTATGACTTCAAAGTTCTCTAAGGTAAATTCTATTTTTAGGATTTTAGAGTTTTCTTCTATTACTTTTTAATATTGAAAAATTTATGTGATGTAGAGTGGTTTGGCAGTCAGGTTCTCGATCACGTAAAGAAGCGCTTAAACGATATTGCTAGATTATAACAGAATATTGCGATTGCGAGTGATTGACGAGAGAACTCTGACTGGATTCTTCTTTTCTCTCTTATTGCTTGCATTTACACAAGTTAGCAAATTATGTGATTTAAAAATAATTTAACGCAGAAATTCTATGAAATTTCAATTTCAGATATATATATATATATAGAGGCAGATTTTAGAAAAAATCTCGCTTCTATATGTAGAGAGAGAGAGAGAGAGAGAGAGAGAGAGAGAGAGAGGAAGAATATCTATTATTAAAATATCCTCTTTGCTCATTTTGCACATATGCCTTTTTTAAATATTCAACAATACTCTGCATAAAATGAAAACTTCTCTTAAGAAGTTGTACGGAAATTAGACAAAGTTACTCTACCACCTTACACGAATCTATATAGTCCATGTGAAGAGAGAAAAAGAGGGAGAGAATATAGTACATTAAAATCTACATAGATATTCAATTTTTTTCGCTTCGATCCTTTTTTTGGTATCTCAGACGAGGACGATCGTGAGATCGCAAGATTGCACCGTGCTCGAACGAGAATTCTGAGGATAATGTCAGATTAGTCGATCGATTATTAATAAGATCGTCGAAATGAAATTGTTCAGTATTATCAGCGATAACACATTGCAGTTTTATAAATAATATACCGTTATCTGGTATCGCGTTGTTTTTGAGAAAATAAATACATAAGAAGTGTCGAGATTGCGCAGTGAGCTCAGGTTTCTGCTCGTTTAAATAAATAAACAAGTATATGTTTGTATGTGTGTGTGTGTGTGTATGTGTGTATGTAAGCGTATATGTACTATATGTAAAGAAAGGAACGTCGAATTATTCCCAGGACACAGACACTTCCTAGGACACAGGACATACATCTCTCTCTTTTTCTCTCTCTTTTCCTCAACGTGTATAAGACGGACTCCGGCTTGCAGAGCAGCTGGACCGGTGACTGAGGCTCGACCAGTTGCTGTGTCTGCTACTCTCGGAGCTGCTCGGCGACGACGGTGGAGTTGGAGTTGGCCGATGATACGGGATCGGGCGTTTCCTCGCGCTAAAATCAATGTTCCTCAATATCGTTTCTTTGTATACAAAATTTAGGAGAGTCAATGATATGTACCGTTAGACATTAAATTTGGGATAAACAAGTGGTATATTATAAGGCAAATTACACACACTATGTTATGACGAATGTTACGAAGCAAAGTTGACCAATATACAAACAGGTAATAATTGACTGTACGATATATGAAATCAACTACGATAAAAATAATGAAATATATTGTATTATGAACAGTTGGCGCTCAAGAGTATAACGAGTGGAAGAAAAAGCAAAACACGCAGGCAGCGAAGTGAAGATGAACAGAACAAGCTTGTGAGAAACGCGAGCGTGCAAAATAAAAGTATGATGACTCACCTGTCCTTGGAGATACTTGTCTGAAGAACGCAGTGCCGCAAGAGACACTCACAAATCGCGAAAACATCGAACTGAAGGAACTAACTAACTAAAACGAAAAAAAAGAACAAAAGGAAAAAGAGAAGAAGTTCGCTTACTGGGTAAATCTTTTATTCTGCGATCGACAATAATAAAATAAAAATAATACCCTACGGTGAACATTTAATTTACAATATTTATAAGGAGAACATACACGCATGCTACTTCTACACGAAAGTCGTAAACTACGATTCGTCGAGCGATTCAGTCCATTGTTCAATTAAGATTGATTGGGACAGGAAAACAGAAGAAGTAAGAAAATCAAGAGGGAAAAAAAGAGAAAAGAGAAAGAGAGAGAGAGAGAGAGAGAGAGAGAGAGAGAGAGAGAGAAAGAGAGAGAGATTAAAAGGATAAAAGGAAAAGGAAAAAAAAAGGAAAAAGAAAAAAATTTGAAATTGAAATAACTGAACCGAAAAATCAGCACTAAGTCGCTCTATGTAGGTAAACTGTGAATAGACACGATTGCAAGATTTCCAACAATATTTAGTCGCAGTTTACATCAAACTCCCTTATTGATATTATTCTGCTATTACATTCGTTAGAGTTGACTGAATTCACTAATTCAATTACACATCTGTCGATAATCATATAATTATTCTTCGCGTGCATCATCGAAATCCGTTTAATTGTGAATATAGTCTGCAAAGGCATTGCAGGAGAAACTCTATGGGTATGTATTGAATGTATACATATAATTGCAATTCCATATTATATGCATACATACAAGTGTTATATGTGTATGTGTGTGTATATATGTAGGCTTGTATGTATGTATGTATATATATATATATACGTATATTTTTTTTTATATTTATATGCGATCTGTATGAAGCCGTAACTATCTATCTTCTATGTCTGTCCCTCGATCTGTCCCTGTAGGACACAACAAACAATACAATTAGCATATCGCAGCTAATGCTCGTCGTCGTATTGCACTCGAGCGAAATTAGTCGTATTCTGTCAACAAAGTTTTTCAAATGTTTCTCTCGAGCGATTTCTCGACGATTCCTCTTAGGACAATTTTTGGCACATTTTTCGAGCGAGCTCCCTAACAACTTTGTGTAAATGTGTTACGATTGTTCGATTAGTTATAGTAACAAAAAAAAATACAGAAACGTAAAACAAAAGAGATACAACTGATAAGAGTCGCAAATTAAAGTCTACGATTACGGTGGACTCGCGACACTTCAGCGTATAGTGCGTGATAAATAATACATTGTATGTACTATAGGGCGATGACGTGACACACGTGTGTGCGTGTTCACGACACCTACCTCGTGATACGCCGTCTGTCGAGGAAGCTGGGCGAACCGTGACGTCGCGGTATAGACGGCGAACGCGATCTGCTGGTGGCGGAGCTGCTAGAAGTTGAGCGAGAGGATCTGCTGGAGACGCTGCTCGACGACCTCGACGAGCTGGAGAAGCTCCTGCGGCTGTGCCTCGAGCTGATGGCCAGAGAAAAGCAGATCTTTATATATTTTATCATTATCTAGCATTGTTAATAATTGTTTCATAAATTATTAAATAAATAATCAATATTATATAACAGTTGTAATAATTTCGTAAAACAGCGTAGACTTCGTTATACACAGCTTTTATATCGTTTAGTGTTTAGCATATAAGTTTCATTGTTTTTCATAATTTTATCAGACAGTGCGTACAGTTTTTTTTTTTCTAATTATCGATCTTTCTGTAGCTGTTGAACTCACCTGGCGGAGGAACGCGAGCTGCTTCTGGTACGACTGCGTTTATCCTTCTCCCTGGATACTCTCGATGCTGATCTCGAGCGGCTCTTGGATTTCTTCGACAAGGAACGGCTTCGCGACTTCTTTGACAGAGACCTGCTACGAGACTTCTTCGATAAGGAGCAACTACGCGAACGTCGCTTCGAGGATGATCTGTGTCTGCTGTCGGCACGAAATTTGGTTGCTGGCGAACGCGAGGCGGACTTCTTAGCGCACGTGGTAGAAGGTGACCGCGACTCCGTGGAGTGTTTCGATTCCGAGGAAGATCTCGATCGGGACGAGCGTTTCGTTCGCATCTTCGGCGACGACTTCTTCGTCCGTGACGCCGATCTGGACGATCGTCGTCTCATCGGCGATGCCGATTTCTTGCCGCGCGAGCGGGACCGCGATTTCTTGTCCCGCGGCGACGGTGATCTGGAAGACCTCTTGTCTAATGACGGTGACGGTGACCTTGTGCATGACCTCGATGCCGATCTGGAGTACGACATGTTTTCTCTGTTGACGGATCGCGAGCGTCGATTCGATCTTGCGAGCGAAATACCCGGCAATGGCGGCGGTGATTCGCTGGGCGAGCGCAGTTTTATCATTGTTTCGTCGCGCGAAGTGCTCGTTACCTGTGCCGCTATCGTCATGGTCGGTGAGCAAGAGGATGACTGCTCACCGGCCTTCATCGATGGATCCTTCCTCGACGCGGTCGGCGAGTCTTTCTTACTAGAGATGTTCGGAGGTGATCTCGATGATCGACGATTTATCTTCATCGCTACAGGTGACACGGTAACTTTGTCGAACGATTGCTGGTTGGGCAACGACGTCGGCAATATCGGCGGCGGCGGCGACTCACTCGGCGACCTGATCTTGATTGCCGCCTCCTCTCGAGTGAGAGGCAATGCCGGTGACGGAGATCTGCTGGAAACTGGAGACCGCACTGTCTGCAGAGACGGCATTATCGACGTCACTTGGTGGTCTCTGGACTGGGACCGGTCACGAGCCGAAGGTGTGCTCATCAGACTCGATGACGCAGCTACCATACTACTCTTTGGCGGCTCGTTCGGCAAAGCGATATCCAACACGTTGCTGTTATCTTCTCTCCTCTCGATCTTGATCTTCGCAGGAGCGATAACTGACTTCTTCTCCAGCGTTTCGCGCGCCTTAGCTGCGAGGCCGCTCTGCAGGCGCTTCAATGTGTTCAACTCCATCATCCGCTCCTCGTCCTCTTGCTGCTGCTGCTTGGACTCATCGTCGGCCAGATCGGCCTCATCTTCACTGGACGATCTCAAACTCACTCTGGGTGCGACCACCTGCGCCCCACGTCTGTTCCTCGACGTCGAGCGCGACTTAGCCCGGCCGCTCGTCCTTTTCCTCGTCTTGCGATCGCGTCGTTTCTGTTCCTCCAAGATGTCCTTGTAACGCTCGGGATTTTTCCTCACAGGCGAATAACTAAGTGTAGACCTCGAACGGGCTCGTCGTTGACCTCTTCGGGCCGGCGAGCGCGATCTACCGCGTGACTGCGATCTCCTACGTCTCGATGATGAAGAGGGAGACAGTCTCCTGCGGGAAGACACGTAACGATCGTATCTGGAGCGGCTTCTGCTTCTGGACGCCGCGGCGGAGTGTCTACCGCGCCTTCGACCGTTGCCGGGTGACCTGGACGAGTATCGCCTGCGTCGGGGAGATGGGCTGATCCGTCGCGACCTCGAGTATCTTCTGGGAGATCTTCCTCCACCTCCGGCGCCTCCTCTGTCGCCCCTACCTCTGGATGATGATCTGTGTCGACGTGGAGGACTCTTGTGACTCACTGGCGGCGATTTGTCCGTCCGCCGCGTTTCTGTCGCGCTCTTCTTCACCGGTGAGTCTTTCTTCATCTTGATCGGCGGTGTCTCGTTGTTGCGAGACTGTCTGTCCGCCCGCGACTTCGGCGGTGATCGCGCCGATCGAGCGGCCGGCGGTTGCTCCCGAGTCGCCGCGCTCTCGGTCATCTCGTTTCTCGGGACTTTTTCTTTCTCCTTCTCGGCTCGGTCATGCTTTATGGATTTTTTCGGTCTCTCGATAGAGCTGTGAAGGAAACGGGCGCGTGTTGAACGAGAAATCGTCGATTAATCGGGAAAAAGTAAGAATAGGCAATAACGTACCTATCCGTGGAGCTCTCGGACGACTGGCGTTTCCGCTTAGTCGAGGTCTTCTTCTTCTAAAAGAAATTTCGACATGGATCAATACTCCTTATCGACTCTTCTCAGCAAACATCGATCATGCATACGTATTCAAGAGTACGTAGTCAAGAGTACAACAAACAAAAAAACGGAAGGAAATGTAGAAAGAAATGATAATTTTATTCCGGAGTCTGCTCCTTCAAGACTTCTAATCAGTAGCTGTCAGAAGTCAAACGATAACGATGCAAAATAAGAAGCGCATTCATCGAAACGTGTCATCGAAAAGAGACAGTCACAACTCGAGAAGAGATTGTAACCACTTGAAATAATCGGAGGAAAGCAGTACTGTTGGCAAGAAAACTGATTTATCGCATCTTTCTAACTTTTATTCTATTTTTTCTTTTTCTTAGGCGTGTGACGGTCTGCTTCCAAGACATTGACTGTGATTCCCCGTTCATGAACAAGCAGTCTCCGAGACTCATTGTCCGTAATTAGCGTGTAATAATGCTCGACATACAACGAGTGAGAGTAGAGATAGATAGATAGATAGAGAAAGAGAGAGAGAGAGAGAGAAAGACAGAAAAAGAGGCTCGTACACGACAAGTAAACTCGCAAATTCGAAAGTAGTATACACGACGAATTAATTTTACGAATTCACAAAATAAAAAATTACATTGAATAGCGGCATATCTGGTACTCACTCAGGGAATGTCTCCTGTCAAATGGCGCTGATAATTACAAACAATACTGAGATTTATACTTTGAAATAATGAACTGTCGAAAAAAATACAAAAAGAAACTGGAAATCAGATGAAAAATCGTTTGTCGTAAAACACAACAAGCGAACCGAGGGGGGAGGGGAGGGGAGGGGATAAAGGGTTAGAGGGACGGAGATTGATTGTGCTACTTTCTCGTGATGGCGAACCCAAGAGATCGGAATAAATACGGTACCCAAACGTCAATCGGCGAACAACAAATTGAGGAGAAACAAACATAAATATATAGATATAATAGAGATGTCATGCATCTGCTTTCCATGTGCCGTAGTGTATGTAAACATATGTATGTAGAGAAAAAGAGACAGAGCGAGAGAAAGGGAAGATAGATAAATTTACGTCCGGCTATCTTCGAAGCACCATGTCCGTACCTCATGTTTGTCCTTTCCTTCAGCTTTCAGCTTCTTCTTTTTCCGCTTCTTCTTCTTCTTCGACTCGGCCTCGGACGAGCTGCACAAATGTACATTCATTAGTCGAAATCTATGCGTACATTTTGAAATTAATGTTTACACCAAGCCAAATTAAAACTCGTGTTAAACCAAAAGCTGACTCACGTAACGCATCTTCTCGACTTGATATTGAAAACTTAATAACGTGTTATTGTTTGTAGGTAATTACTTGCTGTCGTCGGAATCCTCACTGGAGTCACTGTCGGAGGATGTGGCCTCGGTCTTCCTGTGCTTCCGCTCCTTCTTCTTCTTCTTCGACTTTTCTTTTTTCTTGGCGGACTTGGGGGTTTCCGACCTATGGAAATCGATTGGATCGTTACAGGTGCCTCATACTCGCGGACTGTGGCCGCGATTATTTCTTTCAAACGATATTTATTATTAGTTTTATAAGTCTTGCAGTGGGCTTGCGTCTTCCTGTCGACAAGTGCATACCTCGTGCTGACAATATAAAGAAAGCTGTAGTACACAACGTATATCCGTGTATGAAAAAACCAATATGCTCCGTTCTATCGATATATCAACGTATATGTATAGATGTACGTACAATATGCACAAGCTACACCTGCTTTCGAAAAATAGCTTCGGAACAGCCTTCTGCGGATACAGGGCGACCTGAAGGAAGGATTTAAGAATTTAGGGGCATATATAGCAAAAATGTCTTCTCACGCGTCTCACTATATGTCTCCAAATTCTTTGACCCTTTTTTAGACCATCCTGTATGAAATATACATCCTTCGCGCGATTTTCTTTTTTCCCTTTGTGGCGGGACATTTCGGAACAAAATCTGGCTTTATGGAAAATGCGAGATACACTTATATCCCATACATTTATACAGAATGTTTCTGAAATAAAGGACGAGTTCCAGAAGTCGTTTCCCTCCCTCTCGCGCCGAGGAAGAAAGAGAGGAAGAAATCCGTATCGAAACAGCGACACGATTCTTCCTCCTTCGCTTGCCGCGACTTCTGCAGCTCGCCCGGATATTTCGGAAACAGCCTGCAAGAGTGTGAAAAATTTCTTTTAGAGAAAATGTACAGTACAACGATGCGTAGGTGAAATCGCGATATTGCATAATATGCGTTCGTTGCTATAGCTAAACAATCCGACTACGTATATGTTCGCCTTGAAAGATCTGGTTTTTGCACTCGCTTCCGGAATCGCCGAGAGCCCCTCGGAATCGGAACCACACAACCGTGAAAAACCACATCTTTCAACCGCGCATTTACGGAAGACAAGTATGTATGTTTACGAGAAATATATATATATTTAAATATATATATATATATATATATACATAATATATTATGAGGAGTATTGATAAAATATGGGATTAGCATTACCTTGATAACCATCGATAGGGACGGACTTGTCAGAAAAAAATAGAGAGATGACATATTAACAACAAGCTTCATCGATAACAACAACAGAGAGATAGAAATGTATGATCTTTTTCGTTTTTCTTTTTTTTTTCAACATTTTCTCGGATTTTCTGCGTTTACTGCACGTGTAAAACTCGCGTATGTATTTTTACTTCGCACTCCCGGCAAATGTTTGCCTACTACACTTCGTTAATATTGTGAAATGAAGCCGGAATAAATATCACACGTCGAACATACGCCACGGCTGTAATAAAAAAATGGAATAAAAATAATTCTCTTAGAATCGACACAGAAATTAAATTAATCGATGATGAAATTAAGCTGAAGTTGATAATGATTGAAATTGTTTTTCGTGCATTCCGATATCCTCCAGTATGTCTACCCTTTCCAGATTGGAAACAAAAGAAGTGACATTACGTTACATTTCCGCTGTAAAAGAAACACTGAAAATAATGCGTAACGCCTATTAGTGTTGGAGCTATATCGAGAACTGAGGAAACTAAAGAAGCTGCTACCGTAAGAAAGACTATTGAAAAACTATTTTATATATAACTTCAGTAATTTATATATAACTTTTAACCCTTTGCACCCGATAATTTTTTTTAATGAAGATATTTAACGAAGCATATATCAAAGCGATATATTTATATATTAGAAAAAAAAAGAACTTTTATACTTTTATGACTAAAATACTTAAATACTTAGATACAGCAAGGAAACCAATTATGTATATAAATTGATAATTTGTGTAGAGTTGTAGACTTACATATACATAAATATCAGGAAAAATAAACTTTATTTCTTATTTTATTTAATATTATTTTAATATCTTTTATTTAATATTTTAAGACGTAATTCTCAATGTGCATACGTGATTTTTGCAAATGCACCGCGAGATGCAATAATACGAGTACAATTTTCTTGTACTATTTGTCATACAGATATTTAATAATGCTGACAAATATTTTTATAGATTCTGGGATAACTGATATTGGCGCGATATAAAAAAAATGACAAGTATGATAATAAATGGTGCCGTAGCGGAGCCTTTGAAACTTTGTAATAGAAAACTTCCAGTGGTGCCGCCGCTACGGAGCCTTTGGAATGTAAAGGGTTAGTTATATAGAGTACACTTATTATATTATTATTATATCTAGTTATGGCCCATGGAAGAAAAAACGACGACGCGCGGCAAACATTTGCCCACGGAGTAAGAAACATCTAATCGCGCGAAAGACAAATACCGTCCGCGAGAGATAGACATCGCGGTGAATAAATTGTTCTATGATCTGACGTAATCGCGCACGGCGCAACGACGTTAAGCTTTCTTTCGAGAAGAGTGTGTCTTTTTCTTTTTGTTCTTTTTGCAAATTAATCGCGACGACCACACTTACCTACTGCGCCTACTGGGTAGGCACTCAGTCCTCCTCAGTTCTGTTTGAAACAGAGAAAGGTGTACGGGATATGAGACAGTAGGTGAGTCATGAGTCAGTTTTTTCTGTAAATCCGGCAAGAGAGCAACGCTAACGCGCTATGTAAATAAGTAAAAAAGC